AATGTATATACATATATACGTATATACCCATATATACACGCTTTAAAGGAATCTAAATTTCACTTAAAATCTTTGCCTTGTATGTTTGAACCTGATTATGTACCTTATACACTTTATTTCTCCTAAAACTAAGAATATGGACAATGGTGAGAAGACAGTTTCAATTCTGTAGCCTTGAACAATTCTGACCTGTTGAATTCCTACAAGGTACAAAGCACTATGCAGCATACTGCACACATACAGGGTCTACACATAAACTCTCTCTTAGGAAAACTGAAGTTTAAAGAAGCAAAACAGTTGTCCATTTGAAAACAGTAATCATTTTCCTCAATAGGATTTCCCAAAACTGAGAATGTCGACTGAAACACCCCCACCCCTGCCAAACATGAAAATAATACAATCCAGAAATCGTTTCCACAGAAGACAAGTAGAAGAGACATCCACAGCAGAGCCACAGGACTGGTGCGGCGTGATGAGCAAGGAGGCAGTCACGAAGCATCTACGTGCTACTGCACTGGTAGTGGTTTATAAAAATACTATCTACACTAAAAGTTTAAGAACTACTAATATATTTAGTATATTTTTGCCTTTTCTTTTTTGCCACTGAATATAAAATTTTGTCCTAAATTTACTAAATCTTCTACACCCTGAGGAATAATAACAGAGTAATTAAAGAAATGCCAGGGTTAGTTTTGTGGACCATATTATTGCCCCAAAGCACAAACTATATGTATATAGGTAATATTCTTGGAAGCACAAGGTTTCATGAGCAGACTAAGCTACTGCTCCCTCTCTCTCTCTCTTTCTCTCTTTTCCTTAGCAAGGAGTTTGGTTTTAGTGTTAACATGGCCTGGTGTGAATAGATAATGCAGAAGACAAAGATGGGAGCCCTAAGGCTTCCCCCTCCGCCAGACCCACAACTGACACAACGGTTTTCTGTCTCAACCATGAACATGTTACATGAGCATATAACATATATATCACTGGACTATGTTATTCAACAGTCCTCTGAAAAGCACTCTGGAATCCGTAGCTGTCTATTTTTATGAAATTACAATTAAAAAATATTTGCTGTCTTGAAATACGGAATTCTCATCCCTCCCCTTTCATAAAAGTACATAAAATAGCACATTTAAAATTTTATCTCAGCATTTACTTCTTTTCCTCTAACATTTGAAAGGATAAACTTCCCATTATTTTCCTTTTCAACTACTTTACGTAGGTCTGGATTTGGAAGGGAATTCTTCAAGTCCTTAAAGTGAGGCAAAGGAGTCATTTAGGACAACCCTCTGGCATCTCTTTCAGGGCAGAGAGCCACTGTTTCCCTCTGAACACAGGCTGCACGGGTTTCAGGCTGACATTTAATTCTGCACATGCTGGCCTTTAGATGTAATGCCTCCAACCCCCAAAAGTCCAATTCTTCTCGGGAGGGTGCTTAAACATGATAACTAATGAAATATAAACCAAAACATCCACTTTATCAGTGTCTCATTGAAGGATAAAATACTCCATGGGAACCATGCCTAGCAATTGGAATAAATGAGTCACAATCAACTGTTTGATAAAATTTGTCCCCTGTTTTCTACCTAAACAACAGACTTAAACATAATCTTGCTCACCACAAAAGTAAGAAAGGCACTCAAATTAACACAGTTTGTATAGTTCTTTTTAAAAGACACTGTGTGATATTAAGTAGAATTCTCAGGGATGATTTTTCCTCCTTACTGCCTTCATCACATTGAATTTGCCTACGATTCCTGAGCCTCAATGCCCTTCATTAAACAGGAGCACATCCAGAGTACACCCAAGTGTACTCTGGTGACAGCGTGTACGTGAAGTGCTAGTGTCTACAACAGTTCATTTGAGAAATTTATTCAGAAGACAAAAGGTTCAGTTGCTACAATGCTGTTCAAATTTTCTAGCATATTTTAAATATTAAGTTTTAAAATACAATTTTCTAGTAACAAAATAACTAAGCTTACAAAAGCTTTATGCAAAAAAGATTACATGTTACTTCCTTTGATAACTGAATCTTTAGCATCTTTTGTAATTCAGGGAACTAAGGTTGAGACAGATTATTGTACAAGTGATAGTTTCACTCCCAAATGGCATTTAGCCCATCAGATACCACCTGTACTACATAAACTCATCATTTGTTCTCAACAATATTAAAAGTTCTCTTCACACACACACGCGCGCGCGCCATGTGCGCCATGTGCGCCTCAACAAGCGTGAATTGATATGATCTGAATATATCTGAATGACACAAAGTCTATTACCATCTATGCTTTACTATAGAATGCCACATAAAAATCCAAGAACTTTTGTTTCCACATCTTGTTACACAAGCCCTTACCTGAAGATTTAAGTGGCTTTTAGTGACAATCTGTATACATTTAGTTCTACTAATAATGAAGCCATTAATTTAAATTACAACAATACCATAGGAATAAGAAATAAGACTGAAAGTCTGTGCCCAGAGTTTCCAAAAAGGTAATAAACTGCTAAAACCTAGAAAAGAAAAAGGGGACACTAAGTATCAAATCCTTAAATTTAAAAAATAACTAACACAGGTTTAGGAAATATCTAAAAGGTCTACAGTTGAAGTCTGGAGGGGAAAAGGAGAAGTACAAAATGACTATCCATTCACAGATACATATCAACAAGTCTTTAAAATCAAAGAATTTCTTTAGATGCCCCTAAGTGGCTCTGGCTGTGTTGGTAAGATCTGTTCTCCAATATCAGAACAGAAAATAGAGTTCTTAATGCAAGCAGGCTTCATTAGTATATATTAAAGTACAGTTAATTGATAGTTACAGAGCTATACTTCTTGGATGGAATTTAACAAGCTTAAACAAGGCAGTTATATATATAAAAATCTAAATTAACTTATTTGATATGCAATAGCTCCACTGAAGTATCATGAAGCTAGAATACATCATTCATTCATAATCCATTGCTCGAATCCATCAATTTCTCTATCATAACTCACTTTATCTATCACTCATGATCAATCTTTCCCCTGTTCAAACAGTTAATTATTCATTAATTTAATAAACATTTAACAAATCTTCACAACCTGCAAATAGAATTTGGGAACACCATATTACCAAAACAGGTATACTAAAAGAACTGTGAGGTGGTGGTTGTGAAGATATTGACAATCTTATTGCTTTTTGCATGTCAGTAGTATGCATGATCCACAGGATGTAGTCAGATGAAATGTGTGTCAACCTAAACATCTTCTAACAATGACATATTTATACAAAGACTAACAAGTCCCTGAAAACAGACACACTGAATGAGCTCATTCAGTCAGAGAGATATTACCATGCTACAGCTACTGAGTTTAGGTGTCAACCAGTTAGGAAAAAATACAACCATATAGGACAATACTAGGTTTTTCTGCAAATAAACACTTAAAAATAAAATATTTAGAAATAAAGTAGCACAGAAAAGTCACATACAAACAGTACCTTTTGGATATTTGTATTTTCACTCCCTACTTAAAACTTTATTAGGAAGACAAGAGAGAGACCAAGATATTAAAGGACTGCATGGCTTCAGAAAGGGGTGAGTTAAGAGCCTTAACAAGCATTAATAAGCCCTATATGATGCCTGGAAAAAAGATAATACTGAGTGAGGTCAGAATTTGGCAACATGTATTAGTAGAATGGGCTGAATCTCCCATGTCATCTCTGTTTAATTCCAACTCCCCTCCCCCCGCAGGTGACGATCACAAACTAATGGTTTTATCCATAGGGGTCTAGGTAGACCTTGAGGTATTTGATTCAAAATATGCCTTGTACACAAAGGGCTGTGGAATTATGTTCATAATGGCAATTATTTTCTCACTAAAATACTGTAAAAGCTACAAAAGGACAATTCTGCCCCAAGACAGAAGAGCAACTTCTGTCTATAGGAGTCAGCCTAGACAATTTTCTGGTGTTCTTAAGTCTCAACATTTTGCCACTCAACAAAATCATGATGCCCACATAAATGACTTATTATAAACCCTTACGGCAATGTGCCTCATTCCAGTCCAGGGTTTCCATAACAGTGAGATAGCAGAGGTCTGCCTTTCCCTACATCTGTCTCTTCCCACTATGGGTAACCCAGCAAGTAAAAAGGAGAACAGGCAAAGCATGGTAGTCACACATGTTTCTGCCACTATTACAGCTTCCATCATTAGGGGAACTTTTAGAGGAGCAGTTCATATTCATATTACATATGCTTGTGTGCTTAATGGAGTATGAAAATTAATTGGAAATAGAGAGGAGAATATCTTCAGAAAACATCCCTAAAATAATACAGATAAGAAAAAAAAGAGGTGAAAGAAACAAAAATATGAAATGGATTGGAAAAATGTGGAAATAGGAAATGCAGACCATTTATGAAAGCAGAAATATATAATAGAAAATAGATATTACCTGGCCTTTTCCCCACCCCTACCTCACCAACCTGAAAAACTGAGCCCTTGATATTGAAAAGGTAAGATACAGCTATAAGGTGGACACTTTGGTACCTCATCCCTGATAAGTTTAGTATCAAAGTTTTTTAATTGTTTAATTTTTAAAAATAAAGATTGAAGAACTAACCTTCAGAATTATTCTTTCTTCCTAGCTTTTGCCAGTACAATTTTAACAATCGCTTCATAAAAATTTTGTAGTTTTTCCAGTAATAACTTAAAATAACTTAAAATTTTAAAAACAAAGATTTTTATGGATACATTTCTATGCATATTTCTCCAATTTTTTTTATGGTGAATTGAAAGGAAAATAAGTAGTAGTAACTAAAAATGTCATTTCAGGTTTTTAAAAAAAATTGATTTTTATAAGCGCTGACTTGAATGTTTTTGGCATATACCAAATTTGAGGTAAAAACAATCTATCAAAACTAGTAATAAAAATAATTTTTCAGTACTGCAATTACATAAACTCTTAAAATTATTATTATCTTTAAAATAACCATTTTAAAAATGGATTACATTGGAAGCACATTTTTCATATAAATTCCAATACTTCTGACTTTGGTTATCTTGGTCTATAACTTGAGTAGAACATGCTAGAGAAAGAAATGGTTTAAATTTTCACATATCCATCTATCTGGCCATTTGATTCTCAAAACAACAATTATATTCAGTAATTTTATATTTGTATTATTTTAAGCCTAACTACAACATAAATTTTTAATTTAAAAAAATCAGTCTATCCAGCAATTGCACTGAAGTGGGCAGAGGTGTGTGTGAACCAACCAGGACCAAATGAGAAGAAGCCTAGAAACACAGGCTTCTTTTAGAAATACAGAAATACAGAAATATAAAGGATGAGAAGTTACAAAGAAGAAAATTAAGACTCACTGTTTAGCTGGAAGGAACTACACAATTATTTTATACCCAAAGGAATGCCAGTTCTTAACAAAATAAATAAAATGAAAGATCTTTTCAGGACTTTTAACCTAAAGATGAAGAATATATGGTTAGCTAATAATAGCAAATAGTTCATGCAGCTAGGTAAATAAGAAAAGAAAGCAATATTGCACTAAAAGGGGAACCTTGCAGGAACAGTCCACCTCTTTCATTGACTTAATGTATCCAGCCATTTCCTATATGCATTGGCAAACCTGGCCTGCTCGACATTTCGGCAGGTGGACAATACTTGATCGATGAACCTATGTTCCATTTCCAGACCTAGGGAATCTGGAGCCGGGGTCCGCTTTAGGCGTTTTGTTTCCTGGGAATAGCCTTGCTTGCTAGAGTCACTCAACCCATCCACTTCCATTGCCTGAGCCATGTGAGGGCCTGCTGGGATGTGGTGCAAGTCACCTGAATTTCCTCCAGGGCTGTCGGCAGGTGACAACTGGGTCACTCTGTGAAAAAACCTACCACTTAAGTGATGCTGAAGGTAGAAAACATGCCGCCTGTGAAAAAGAAGGGAGAGAGGGAATAGAGAAAAGAAAGATCACATTGCAAGGTCAAACTTTTCAAGGAAAACCAAAAAACAAGTTGATCATTTCAAAACATAACAGTACTCAGTTCACCGTTCCACTTATAACTCAGAGTTTTCTGGAAGATGGAGAAAAAACAATTATGAAGGCTCTGGGTATCTGGACAGCCTTACAAGGCCAGATTACTGGTTTGTTTGTGAGAAAGGTTTTTAAATAGCATTGACTGAGATGATGACAATCACTTAAAGTTGTTATACTTTGTAAACTACAATATGAAACCAAAATTAGATCTTAGCCCAATCGCTGCTATAAATTAAAATACAAAACCAAAAATTAACCTTGCTGATATCCCAAAAGACAAGTGATTCTGCAAAAAAGGGATTAAATAGCTCTTCCAGAGCTTAGTCCATGGCCTCTATCCAATACTTCCTTTAATAAGAACAATCTGCTGCAGTTGGTCTTATTATCTAGAAACCATGTGAACTTTCCCCTAAATACATTACTACAGCCTCATAAAGAATCTACATGCATTAGGGATGTGCTGGGCTCAGCGAAGTATGTTAAAGACAGTTCCTAATCTTCCTTTGAGGAGAGCAGGTCTCCTGCCCTTAGAATCACGGGGAGTTATTTGTTAAAAATAAAGATCTATGTGCCCAATCTCCAAAAATGTGACTCAATAGGGTGCACATCTACTGTACATAATAAGGTAAACTACATAGGTTCTAGGTTGTTGTATCTTATCATTCCTAATAGCAACTCTAATCCCTGAAAAAGATAACACTATCCATTTTCCCAATATATCCCGGAGTAGATAGGGAACATATACCCATCATACAGACGATACAACTTAAAGGACAGATAAACTGCATAAGAGCAATGCATCTGTACTAGAAAACTGGCATAGCCCTGGCCGGTTTGGCTCAGCAGCTGGAGCATCAGCCTGCAGACCAGAGAGTCCCAGGTACGGTTCCCGCTAGGGGCACGTACCAAAAAAAAAGAAAGAAAACTGGCATGTATAATGCACAGGCCATCCCAACTATCTCTTCTCCCCACACCCCACCTCAAAGTCCAATTAATCTTTACGAACAAAGAAAGTTTCTGCTCCATTAATGTAGCTGTCTTTCAAACACAAATATATTTTAAAAATTCTCTGAGCCTTGCTATTAATGTGGCTAAATATAAAATAGCAACAAAAATCTGTTAACACCAAAATGACATATAAGTCAAGATCTATTTATTTTTTCTTTTGCAAATGTGGAATAAGAGTGTCTTGTTTTAAGGGAGAAAATATTCTGTATTTATGAAGGTGCCAAAGAGGGAGTATTGTCTTCCATCTTCTAACTATATTTAGACTGGAAAAAGAGGGCAAATCTCAATTAAGTTAATATACAAACATTCCTATCTCCTACCTAGCACAGGCAAGTCTTTTGTCTACAAACAGAATCCTATAACCTGAAATAGAGTCTGCATTTATAAAGATGAAGACATCTCCAACTAGATGATCTGAAATGAATCAGGAGTTCCTATACCTGGATTTCATTCCAACATGCAAGTTACTTTACTGACAAATGTGCTCAGAACTCAATTTATAAAGTTGCTGACTCTCTCTCAGAACTTCCTAAAATTCTGTTAACACTCCCAAAGTACACTGTACTTTAAAAAAGTAACAAACAGAGTTCATAATGGTCTGAAGAATGATAAAGCTGAACTATTCCTCTATTCTCAGGGTCTAATGATTGGTCTGACTGTACATCTAATTTATCTGTTAGAATCATTTTCTTAATTATTATGATTTTTAAATCCTCAGCAGAGGATATTTTTCCATTTATTTTCAGACGTGGGGGTGGGGGGGAGACAGACAGAAACATTGATGTGAGAGAGACGCATTGACTGTCTGCCTCCCACATGACCCGGACCAGGGCTGGGAACTGAACTGCAACTGAGGTACGTGCCTTTGACCAAAATTGAACCCGCGACTCTTTGGTCCGTGGGCTGACACTCTAACCGCTGAGCCAAACTGGCCATGGCCATTTTCTTTATTTTTTTAAAAAAACAGATGGCAGCCCTAGCAGGTTTGGCTCAGCAGTTAGAGTGTTGACCTGTGGACCAGAGAGTCCCGGGTTCAGTTTCCGCTAAGGACACGTACCTCGGTTGCAGTTTGTCCTCGGCCCTGGTTGGGGTTGTGTGGGTGGCAACCATTCGATGTGTCGCTCACATTGATGTTTCTGTCTCTTTCTTCTTCCCTCTCTCCCTTCAGCTCTATCTGAAGATAATGCAAAAATGTCCTCAGGTGAGGACTGATTAAATAAGTAAATAAATAAATAAATACAAACAGATGGGTGGTTTGGCTCAGTAGTTAGAACATTGGCCTGCAGACCGCAGAGTCGCAAGTTCAATTCTTGGTCAAGGGCACATACCTGGGCTGTAGGTTTGATCCCTGGCCCTGGTTGGCGTTGTGCAGGAGGCAACTAATTGATGTGTCTCTCTCACATGGAAGTTTTTCTCTCCCTCCCTCCCTTCTACACTTTCTAAAAATCAATGGAAGAATATCCTCAGGTGAGGATAAAAAAAAAACAACCAAAACTCAGATGGCAGGGCTCCATCCCAGATATGCTAAATATCAGTATCTCCAATGAAGGAGTCCAGAAACTTTCATTTTTAGTTTGGAAGTAATATATTATTCTGTTGTACAGTCAAGGATGAATATCACCATCCGAAGCTGTAGGCAAACATCTGTGCAAGGAACTTTATTGATGATGATCATGAGGAGGAGAATATGTAACACAAATTCCTCCAAATCACTCAGGCAAAGCTCCACAATCAGATTACCATATTCACCCCAGCAGCCAAGAGTCTCTGTAGTTCTCATAAGGACATGCACAGCTTCAAGCAGGAAATGAATTTTCCCTTTTCTTACCTGTGACACCAAAGGGTTTCATGTCCTGGGTAGGAATCAATAAGATCAGTGCTGAATTCAACTTCTTCTTCTAGAAGATGTGGAATATTTATCCTTGGTTCCTCTGTTGAAGCTGCATCTTCATCTTCTGGAAGAAGCAGGGCTGGCTCACTTCTCAGAGGGTTTTGCTCCAACACAGAACTGTCTTTCACAGTTTGGCTAATTAAAGACTTTAGCAAGAACTGGCGGTAGTGAAATCCACTGTGGTCTGAAACGTGCATGGATGCCCAGTGTTTAGTAGAAGACAGTTCATCAAGAAGAATCTTGTAAGAAGAAAAAAGAGAAGTGAGACAATAAATTGCCAAAGTTTTTTCTTTTTCCATTAGTGCCTTGGATTTCTCTTTCAACTCGTTCCGTGTTTTTTTTTGACTACACCATTCCTACCAACATTTTTTTTTTTTATCCTCACCCGAGGACATTTTTCCATTTTTTGTTCAGATAGAGTGGGAGGGAGAGAGAGGAAGAGAGAGAGAGAGAGAAACATCGATGTGAAGGGACACATCGAGTGGCTGCCACCCGCACGACCAACCAGGGCCGGGGACAAACTGCAACCGAGGTACGTGCCTTTAGCGGGAACCGAACCCGGGTCTCTCTGAACCGCAGGCTGACGCTCTAACCGCTGAGCAAAACCGGCCAGGGCTCTACCAACATTTTGTATACATTGTCTAACACAGTGTCTTTGCTTAGTGGAAGCTCAGTTAATGCTTGTTTCTCCATTCCCTTATAAAGTAATAGGAAGATTATTATATATACACACACACACACACACACACACATACACATACACAACAGAATTTAAGTATTTGTTTGTCATTCTTTCCCTGTACCTTGATCAGTCACATTCTGATTGGCACACACCAATAGAAAATCCAACTTCTAAAATAATAATGAGTATTAGGGTGTTCAGTTATAAGTAATGCTGATATTGAAGAGAAAGTATAAATTCAGAGGTTACTTTGAAGCAAACTTTATTTTATATTTAATAAACCTGTACTATATTTAACTTATTATAACAACAGACTTAATGTAATTATTTTTTTCTTCACTGTAAGTGCCATGAGGGCAAATACCATGTTTGTTTTGTTCACTACTTAATTCTTAAGGCTTAGAACAAAAACATGATGCATGAATAACAGGAAATTTCAAGAGCTCATTACTTTTACTATTCATCTCAACTCACTTAACATCAATGATATATGTTTTTTTAAAGGTAGACGAGACAAAATTCAGTAGTGAATTGTTTAAATCTTTGTATTATCAATCCTGTAAACTAAACAATTTCAAATGGAGTGATAAAAAGAAAAGCAGCATTTATGAAAAATTAAATTATTTGGCAGTGTCTTGGACAGGTAGCAAACGCAAATGGGTACTGATAGTGAAAGGTACAGCGAGGGTCCACCACATTCCACCAGAAAATTTCCAGACCAGCTAAGGAAAAAAGATATACCTGTCAACAGTGAACAGTACAGATAACAAAATGTCAAAAGGTTCTTTTACCTGTTTCTAAGGGTCCCAGGCAAAAGCCTTCTCCTGTACCAAGATCCCTCTCACTTCTCACAGTCCCGTTTCCTCCCTAGAAGAAATCTTTCCCTCTTAGGAACCTCCAGAGCTCTTGTGTGTTCTGCCACATATATTATGGAATTTTCTGTGCACCTTTTTATCCCCACCAAACTCTACAATTAGGACATTTATTTGTCTCTATACTGACTGGCATCTGAGTGGACATGTTAAGTATTTTATGACTGATTGACTGAATGAACAATTTAATGAATGAAGTGAAATGTTTTACACATTTCCTTTAAATTCTAAAGGGTTTATTCACAGCCACATACATTTATTCTAGAGGCTACCTCTGGTGATTCACAGATATATGAAAGATAAGACTGCTTGATTTAAAGGGTGAGCAAAATAGCACCAGATAAACTTCTAGTTGGAAAAAAAAACAAAAAACAAAAAACAAAACAAAAAGCTAATCTTAAGGTTATTACATTGTTTAAGAATTAAGCTGCAGGACATATAGGCTATAATACAGCAGATTCCAAATGCCAGTCTTTTCCACAGTGGGTATACCACTTCACGTTCCAACCAGCCATGTATAAGGAAGGGTTTCAATTCCTCCACATCCTTCCCAACACTGTCTTTTAAATTTTATTCATCCTAGTTGGTGTGAAATAGTATCACACTGTAGTTTTGATTTGCATTTCCTTAATGGCTCATGATATTGAATGTCTTTCCATGTCTTTATTGGACATTTGTATATCCTTTTTGGAGAAATGACCCTATGTGCTTTCTTGAGTAACATACCACATAAACTTTTAATTGGCTAGGTGTAATAATCTCTGCTCAACTCTGAGTCGTTCCTCCCATCTCACTATAAAAAAGACTATTTTAAAATTTACTTAACTAACCCTGGCTGGTTCGCTCACTGGTTAGAGCATCAGCCCATGGACCAGAGAGTCCTGGGTTCGGTTCCCACTAAGGGCATGTACCTCATTGCAATTTGTCCCTGGCCCTGGTTGGGGTTGTATGGGTGCAACCAGTCGATGTCTCTCTCTCTCTCACATCAATGTTTCTCTCTCTCTCTCCCCCTCCTTTTCTCCCTCCCGCTCTACCTGAAGATAAATGCAAAAATGTCCTCAGGTGAGGATAAAAAAAATAAAATAAAATTTACTTAACTATATGTTCACTTAGACACACAAACATCACAGGGAACATGAAAAAGAAAATTTTAAATTCCACTCTACAGCACTGATGAACATTTTTTATTCTCTAACTACTTTTCAACAGAAAACTAACATATGCTTATTGTAGCAAACACAGAATGCATCCACAGCAGCACTGCGTGGGGATATAAACATCTGTTGAGCACTTACATGCGCCAGACACTGTTCTAAACACTTTAAAGTCACATTCAATGGTAATAATATATTCAGAAATTTTAGGGTCATCTCATATTTAGTTTTATTTCCTTAAACTATAATGAACAATTTTCTTTAAATAATCTTCCAAAATACAATTTTTACTAGCAACAAAATATTTTGATGTGTGATAGACTGTAATGTAATTAAACCCTCATTATTGGTGGGTTAGACTGTTTCTAGTTTTTCACAATTATAAACAGTAATTTCATATATCAATCTTCCATATTTAATATAAATAGTGTTTACTGACTGCTTAGTACAAGCACTTGTGATTGCCACTTTATGTGGATTCTCCCATTTAGTTTACATCACTTGATGTTGTAGGACTTATCCTCATTCCCATTTTACAGATGAGGAAACTACAGGTTGGAGAGGCTAAGAAACTTCCCCAAGGCCACACCACAAATTGGTGGCTGAGTCAGGATTCAAATGAGGCCTGCATGGCCACTGAGTGGCATCTCTAATTGCTACACCAAGCTGCATCTCCCATTACATCTTTAGGATGAGTTCCTAGAAACAGAACTGCTGGATTGGAGATAACTTACTTTTTTTTTTGGTAAAGTCTGGTAAATGCTACCATGTTGACCTTCAATAAGATTATAACAATTTCCTCAATGCTTGTTTTCATAACCTAATCAATGCTAAGATACCAACACTTTAAAACGTAATTTTCAACTTTCTAAGTTAAAAAAAAAAAGCTTGGATCCTCGGCATCTCCACCAAAAACAATATCAACAACAACAAAAAACCAACCAACCAAAACCAACCAACCAAACACACAAACAAAACAAAACAAAAAAGCCAGATCATTTTACATGTATTTTTAACCACTGAGCCAAACCAGCCAGGGCTTACATGTATTTTTAAGTTGCTCTAGGCTACTGGTACTTTTGTGATGACTTTCTCTAAGACCAAGCATAGCAGGCGATGATTTAGCTGGGTTCAACGGCTTACAAGAGCAGATAGGGATTTGCAAATTCAGCACTCTTCACCAGAGAGAGAGACACTACAGTGTCAGTGCTCACAGGAACAGCAGTCTCCCCAAGGGCAGGGTGAGCTGATATGTAAGCCTATGGACTGTGACCCAGGAGTGGACCCAGGCAGCTGAGTCAACACACCACTAATGAGTTCCCATCTTCAACATCAGATGGTCTCTCAAGTAACTAAGAATTTCACTTTGGCCCCAAGCTCCTGATCTTGTGGGAAAGCCACCGTAAAAGGTTCGTATCAAGGCAGGAACACTTCCAGACTTCTCAGCTCACCTGGACTTGGCCTTCCTCCTTTTCCTTAACTCTCCTCAAGCTGCACACACTGCAAGCTGTGGAGCTGCTCCGACTGGCTGGCTCTAAACACTCAATAGCCCCCTCAGCACAGCAGATAACACAGCAGTGACCAGTCCTGCAGACTCCCAGTGAGCGCCGCCTGGATGGAGTCATTACTGTGCTCCCCTGTACCTTGAGTTTCCTCAGGTCCCTGCAAAAGTAACACTGCTGTGTAATGTTGGGGTCTGCTTCCTCACCTTGCCAGGAGCAAGCTCTTTATCTTACACCACACTCAGTGTGCAGGACAGTGTCTGGGAACGACAAGGGGTCAGTACTATTTCATGAACAAATTGTGGTGCGTTGACCTAGCATTCTGGTAGTCAGTTTAACCTAAAATTTCTACTCTGGGGAACAGAGAAAGGAACTAAAATTTAGCAATCATCTACTATTAGGTGCCCGGTACTTTCTACACATTCACTTACATAATACTCACAATAATCCATTGAGGCAGAAAGTAAAGGCCCCATTTTGTTTTTTAATATTTTCATTTAAAAAAAATGTTTTATTGACTTTTTTTTTTGAGAGACAGGAAGAAAGAGAGAGAGATAAACACCAATGTGAGAATGCAACATCGATCGGCTGCTCTTGCATGCCCCATACTGGGGATGGAGCCTACAACCCAGGCATGTGCCCTGACCAGAAATCGAACTGCTGACCTCTTGGTTCCTGGGGCAATGGCCAACCAACTGAGCCACATTGGTTGGAGCATAAGCCCCCATTTTATAGATGAAAACCTTAAAGCTGTCCTTTCCACATACAGCTAGTTGGGCCAGAATCTGAACCCAGGTCAAGGTAATTCTGTCTTAGCTCTTTCCACCCCATTAGGTGTCCTCCCCTTCTGATACATAAAGTATTATGAACCAGAGAGGAAGGGCTACTCCTCTAAAATTCTGGGCTTACAATATCCCAGAAGTGAAAACTCTCTGATTTCTCTTGGAGGAATTTCTAGGAAACAAAGAGAGGGAACCTACGAAAATTGTATAAAGAAGGGGTAGTGAGCAAAAATTAGAGAATAGTTTCTCCATTAATCTGAAAGCATTTTGACTTTTTAAAATTGTCTCAAACCTGGAAAGCTTTTAGAAAAGTACCCTAGCCCTGGCCAGTTTGGCTCAGGGGTTAGAGTGTTGGCCTGCGGACCAAAGAGTCACGGTTTGGTTCCAGTCGGGAGCACGTACCTCAGTTGCGGTTCATCCCAGGCCTAGGGCAGAGTCATGCAGGAGGCAACCAGTCAATGTGTTCCTCTCATGTCAATGTTTCTCTCTCTATCCCCCCTCCCCCACTCTATCTGAAGATAAAATAGAAAAATATCCTGGGGTGAGGATTAAAAATAAAAAGTACCCTAGATGCTGATGGCACTGATACCATAAAAGTGAAGAAAAAAATAGAAAAGCTATAGTATGCAAGAAGGACACCTGGTTCTCATTCCGATGAATAATAAGTGATGCCAAATGTGGCTAAGTCTAAGCCATTGCAAATTATCTGGTACCTTCCATCTCTTCATTTCTGACCTGAAAGGATTAGGTGTCAAAGTTTCCAACCTGGCTCTGCATCCAAGTAACCCCACGCCTATAAAAACACTGATCTCGAAATCCCAACCCTCATTCCCATTTAGTGGATCTGGGTTGGGACTCAGGAATCCTCAGGATTCTTATAGAACACCTGAGTGAAATTTTGTTCCTCCCCAAGAGAGCCTGTGAAAAGGCAGCCAGCTAATTCAGTAAAGTCACACAACCAAAGACTATCAAGAAAGAACCATTTCAGTTCTGTAATGCTTCATAATCCCTTCCTGTTTCAAGGTAAAATGAGTTACACTCAGTCTTCCTTACTGCTTAAACCTGCCTGTGTTCTAGCAATGCACTAGCCTTAAAAGTGCCAAAATATTCTGGTGAGGAACGTAAATTTTTATTATTATTTTTATTTTTTTAAATTCTCACTTGAGGATACATTTTTCCATTTTTATCTTCAGATAGAGTGGGGGAGGGGGAGAGGTGTGAGAGAGATACATTGATTGGTTGCCTCCTGCATGACCCCGACCAGGGCTGGGGACAGGGCCGAAACCGAGGTACGTGCCCTTGACCAGAATCAAACCCACGACGCGTTGGTCTGTGGGCCAACATTCTACCGCTGAGCCAAACCGGCCAGGGTGTAAACTTTTTTTAATTGCCAGGGATTCCTTGGAGGTATCAGCTGTCATGATCCTCTCTAGGCTGCTGGGCTGCCATTATTTCCTCAACTTTCCTCCTTTAAAGCTCCTCTGAAGAGGAACTACTACCAGAAGATGGCAAGGGCAGACGTGGAGTATGCTAGGGAGATGGAATAACAGCCCTACCTTGACATCTAGCTTGGCCAGGTGTTGTAAAACCCAGATGCGATGGGACCAGGCATTATAGTTGCTCGGGTATCTCCCTGCCGCTTCACCACAGACCTCCATCTCTTCTCGTATTAGTCGCTGTGTCCTTTCTGCAGGAATTGTTCCCGAGTTTCCTTTGGTCACAAAGGAAGGCAAGGAGGTTTCCTGAATTAGCTGTTGTAGCACCCATCGTCTGTTAAAGTAGCATGTAGGAAAGAGAATGAGGAAAGGACATAAACCAGAGAGGAACACAGTCAGAGTTTTCTTAATTTAATTTCCATTCAGACAATGCAAAATACCTGTCCATAAGACCAATGTTGTGTGTTTTTTTTTTGGGGGGGGGTGGATTTTTATTTTTGTTTTTAAAGACATACTTAACTTTAGCAGTATGAATGGTGGCGGAAGGACAGAGGAAAGAAAAATATTTTTAAAAGGTTGTAATTTCTCAAAAAAAGAATGCCATCAGTTCCAAAATGACAACTCCAAAACTCCATTTGGCTAAGATCTGTAAAGGCAACTATGTTGTGTGTGTGTGTGTGTGTGTGTGTGTGTGTGTGTGTTGGTATGGCAGTTGGTGAGAGAGGGGATATAATTAATGGCTGGTAAATACTAGAAGAGGAATCATGGTTCATGTCTTCAATTATATACAAATGCCTCACCCTATGTGTATTTGTTTGAAACAAGAAGCTGCATTAAGACAGCTTTCACTAAGCAGAATTTCCATATTATAGTATAAAATCTGGAAGGAAATAAATACAATATAATTAGTGAGACCATCAAGGTTTTAATATGTCATTATCCATAGATTTTTTTCCCCTTGTCTATTTAAGATTTTCATTAGCATACATTTAAATGAATTTCAATAAAGTATCTCTAACCACTTAATGTCTTTAGTTTTAACAAATATTTTCTCATAAGAAAGCATTCTTTCAGATTCAAAATTTCCAACATAGAAGTACAAGAAATTCAGAAGGAAAACTCATTTTGTCATTCTCAAATAATAGAAGTTTTTTTTTACTTAACAAAAGCTTCCTTTATAAAATAGTAGACAAGTCAATAGACTGACAGATGCATATTCAATAATTCCCTTCCTCTGCCACCAGCTCTTTCCAAACCTCTACCCATACAATCATATACCTCTCTGAAGTCTGCAATCACAATTTCTACTACGGAAGAAAATACAGTTGATTAAATGGTTTGGAGGTAGCTGATTTGCAATGTTAGCGAAAGGCAAGATTATAGCTAAGATACCTTAAACCGACTCAAAGATCCTAAAAATGCTCAGGATTCAAGCAAAGTTTTAAATGGCTTATATACTGAGAACAGACTTCTTCAGAGAATTTCCCCACTGACCAAACCAGAAAGCTCACACCTATCCTTTTAGTCATTACAGTGGTTACATTGAGTTCAAGATGCTTCCAGACAGCTAGGATTTTGGTGAGTTCATATGTGCATTTTGGCTATCTGCCTCAGGCCTTTAACCTAAAAATATTCTTTGCATTTATGGTTTTAGCAATTTTAACTCACCCCATACACCATTCATTTCAGCTGCACTTGTTTTTCTTATTTCGTTAAAAAACCACAGCCATCACAACCATCATTTTTAACAAGAACATAATTGAATTAATTATAAAAACCCAAGTTGCTCATTATAGTTAAATATCTAAATGCAATTTCCATGACTCCATCAGAATGTTAATAATAATGGCTAAAATTTATTGAGTATTTAATATGTGCCAGGCACTGTGGGAGTGTTTACAAGTATTATCTCATTAAACTCAGCTATGAACTCTGAGATAGGTGTACTTATTATTCCCATTTTACAAATGAGAAAACTGAGGCTTGAAGAGGTTAAATAATTTCCGAAGATCACATAGGTAGCAAGTGATGGCATCAAAATTTAAACATAACTGACTTTAAAATTCATCCTCTGAACCAGTAATGTGACCTAGCTTCACATTCTGTGTTTTCTCCAGCCATTCTGAATCCTATTTAAGAAGGCTAAGGTGTAAATTAACCACACCTGTGAATCCATGTTTCTGGACTCTTTGGAAACTTAGTTAAGGCCAGTTTTCCCAGATGTAAATCCTTAATTGGATTTAAAGTGCCAGAGAGGATCAGCTCTTTTCTGTAAAAGAAAAATAAAAAGAACCATTACTTTATCTTTCTATCCAAACGTATTGAATGGGTATTAATATAACCTCATTGAGAAGTGAATTTCCAAGAACTGAATAAAAAAAGAAAAGACAACAAAACCTTCCTAAATGTCACATACAGTAATCAAGAATGTATTCTTATAGTCTTAAAATAACAAAAGCTTTAAATCAACAGCGAACCTTTAGTTACCTATTTGGAAAAGGGCAAAGGGGTTTTGAAAATCCTACAAGGCCTGACGTCAGTTATCTGTAGGGCAGAATTGCTCTAGCTTCCTAAGTAGGACATGACATGGCCTAGTTCATTACCCAAAATATACACATACAACTAACACAGTATGATTGAGATATAAGGAAAAAAATAATTCATTCAATCACTACCCTAACAAAATTACTATTTTTACTTTTGAATTTTCCCTTCTACCTTTCCTCATATGCATCTACCTTTTAACATATAATTTTATATTCTGCTCTTATATCTTTGGTCCTATATGAACATTCATTCATTCACTCATTTGACTCTCATCCAAGGATATGCTTTTATTGATTTTAGAGAGAGAGGAAGGGGGAGAGAGAAGCATTGATTGGTTGCCTCCTGTCTGCACCCTGACCAGGGATGGAACCCACAACCATTGGTGCATGGGACAAGGCTCCAATCAACTGAGCTACTGGCCAGGGTACTATATGAACACTGTAAGTGGTCAAGTAATTTTCATTCAGTAGCTTGCTGTTAATTAATGATGTTCTTTCCTATGGTTAGACATTTAGGTTGCTTCTACTTTTGCTATTCTAAAATAATTCTGAAACAAAGAGCTATGCACTTATGACTTCTTTTGTTTGTACTATCACTTTGGATATGTTTCCAAAAGGTGTATTACCAGGTGAAATACCTGTATGGCTTCTAATACACTAGACCACTCTTGAAATATAAACAGAAATAAGAGCTATGTGAATTTTTTGTTGTTTTAAAAGACTGACAATCCCCAGAAGAGGGAGTGGCGGGGGGAGATAAACCACAGAACTTATATGCATGTGTGTTTGAACAATGGACATGGACAACAAAGCTGGGGACAGGGTGGGGAGGGAGGGAGACGGGGAATCAGTGGGGGGAAAAGGAGAAACATCTGTAACAAAAATAAATTAATTAATTTTAAAAATAAATAAATAAAAGTGTTCAAAGCTTTTGTGCAGCATAAAGAATGTCATGCAAAAGCACTCCACCTACTTCCCATAATTTAGGTTTAGATTTAATTTCTCAGATAACTTTTGATAATAAGTTCTGATAATTTTCAATGTATTATTATTTTATAATGAGATTAGTCATTTGCTAGTGTTTAGTAATCTTGAAACGTCCTTCCTGTGGTAGAGCTGATGATTCATTTATCTTAGAGCAGTGTAATCCCAACAAAACCAGAGCCCAGCATGTAAACGTCACCTACGTAGGTGGATTTAGTTCCTGAATACCACGATACATTTTCTTTTCAACAGCAATGTACTCAATCTAAATTTTATTTGATAAGAAAAATAACTTCTTTTTTAATGAAAATACTAAATAAGTGATAATGAATATTTGCATTTTTACAATCACTTTTAGGTCAGTCATTTCACTCTATAAAATAATTTGAAGGGCTACCAAGAAGGCTTATGGCTGACTGCTTTAGCAGATGGATTTATTGATTATTTTTCTTCCAGTGTATAGGAAACCTGTGTCATTAAAAGAATATGTAACACAACAGCCAACCACTTTTGCAGTCCTAAATCCTTTTCCTTCTGAAATCAGTAATGTCTTGTTCATACAATAAGTCAGGATACCTATAGTATAAAAGGAGGCAAAATATTGCTCTTTGTAATTTTAAGTACTTTACAGAGCACTGTTTCTTAAACTAGGGTCCCTGATTACATTATCATTTGGAAGTGGTGAGAAATATAGTCTCAGGCCTCATCCCAGACCCACTGAATCCACAACTCCATGGGGCAAAACAGTATGCTGTACTGAGACCTCGGGTAATGCACACTAAAGTTTAAAAACCATGACTGTAGATAACTTATTGTATTAAGTGTAATTTCCATTTACTAATTTTAAAACCTCTCCCTATTTATAACTGCCTAATTATATTCCCATATATGTCTATATAAACAAGGAGAAATATAATTTTCTTCAGAAAAGAGGAAATCGCCTTACAACTAAATCTTTATAAAGTTTCTTAAATTAGGGGTGCTCTCTTAATTTATTTTGAACAACAAAATAGTATTTGGGAAGACATCTCAGCCTGAAACAACCTCAATGGTGTGTATATATACACACACACACACACACACACACACACACACACTTAAAAAGATCATCTAATAGAATCATAAAAAAGGAAGCAAAATGTTAATATCAATTTAATAAATATTTCTGAGGACAGGACTAAACATTTTAGGTGTTGGCTAGTGTCATAGTTTGTAAAGATCACCTAAAAATGAAGTATGGTAAGTGGTTAAGGTATGGCTACCACATAACTTAGGGATACAATAAAAAAATCAACTGCTAATGTATTCAAGTAGGAATCTAGCTTGTGGTAAAATTTCCAGTCACACACCGATTCAAAAAGTGCTGTATCTCAAACAACTTACATATAAGTAAACATCCTGTGCTCAAAAAAATTAGCTCTTGTGATGACCAAGTCACTGATGAGAGGGAGTTTGAATTAAATTGTTTAATGAAATGTGAGTAGAAATATGAAGAATGTTCCTATAAGTTATTTTACAGGTAACTAAACTGAAAAATTAAATATCATAAGACATTTGCTTATTATTTCATGTGCATATTGGTATTAGCCTAAAACAATTTTTTGGACTTTTTTTTATTGATGAAATGGAGTACTGCCTTAATTGAGATTGCTTTATTTTCAGGCATATTGAGTAAGCTGTGCTTCTATCTTCATCCTACAAGCATCAAGTGGTAAGCTGCTAACAGGGGAAGGAGGAATAAAATGAGGGCCATCAAATAAATGTGAAGGAAACTAACTAGGGCAACCTTATGGGATGAAATTATGTGAGGACTGACTTTCTTTTTAACAAGGTGGGAGAAGGGAGTAGACTAAGGAATTTTAAGAATCAATAAAAGGTAGAACTATAAAAGGAATAAAGTTTTTCACACAGATTTTTCAAGCAATAAAAGTTACTTCTTTAGCCCTGGCCAGTTTTGCTCCGTGGTTAGAGAGCGTCAGCCTGCGGACCAGAAAGTCCCGGGTTTGGTTTCCACTAAGGGCATGTGCCTCAGTTGCGGTTTGTCTCCAGCCCCGGTCGGGGTCGGCTGGGGTCGTGTGGGTCGCATCCAGTCGATGTGTCTCTCTCACATAAATGTTTCTCTCTCTCTTCCTCCCTTTCCCCCTCCTGCTCTATCTGAAGACAAATGCAAAAATGTCCTTGAGTGAGGATAAAAAAAAGTTACTTCTTCAAAATTTTTGCTATGTATTTTACTTACTGATTAAAGAGTATATGGAAAGTCTCATCACTTTCCCTTGAAAACTCCAGTTCATTGTTATGAAAACCAGCTAGTACTGAAGCTTAAAAAAACCACTCATAGAGCCTCTAGGGGTTACTAATGTGAGTAGTGTATCTTATTCCTCTATATAAGTTACTATATTTTTATATTTCTGCAAAGCTTTTATTATTATTATTATTTGCATTTTTCTCTCTATCACAAACTATTAGTTACTGCTTCTCTCTGCTGTCATTCTATTCAAGATTTGTAGGAGACCAGGGGCCATGTGTATCTTGTCTATGACTAAATCTCCACTTGTTAACTCAGTACTTGGCACACAGTAGATACTGAATAAACAAATGCCACCTTTCCCCTCAATCTTCAGTTATTCTGTCTGAAATAATAGTAATAATAATAATAAAAGTCATCCTCATAAAAACTACCATTTATTGAACATTTCTGAGTCAGGCACTATGTTAAGAGATTTGCATATATTACCTAATTTAATTCTCACAATAATCCTATAAGTATTCATTTGAACCATGTGAAATTGCCAATATTCAGTTGTGTTTTCAAATAAACAGTTTATTTTATCATTGTTTTATTTTATTTTTTATCCTCATCCGAGGACAATTTTCCATTTTTTATTCAGATAGAGTGGGAGGGGGAGAGGGGGAGAAGGAGAGAAACATCAATGTGAAAAAGACACATCGAGTGGCTGCCACCCACACAACCCAACCAGAGCCGGGGACAAATTGCAACTGAGGTACATGCCTTTAGCGGGAACCGAACCCGGGTCTCTCGGGACCGTAGACCGAAGCTCTAACCTCTGAGCCAAACCGGCCAGGGCTATTTTATTTTTTATTATTTTTATTTTATATTATTTTTATTTTATTTTTTATCCTCACCCAAGGTCACTTTTCGATATTTTGTTTAGATAGAGTGGGAGGGAGAGAGGGAGGGAGAGGGAGAGGGAGAGGGAGAGGGGGGGAGAGAGAGGGAGAGAGAGAGAGAGAGAGAGAGAGAGAGAGAGAGAGAGAGAGAGAGAGAGAGAGACATCGACGTGAAAGGGACAGATCGAGTGGCTGCCACCCACACGACCCAACCAGGGCCGGGGACAAACTGCAACCGAGGCACGCGCCCCCAGGGGGAACCGAACCCGGGTCCCTCCGGACCACAGGCTGACGCTCTAACCTCTGAGCCAAACTTGCCAGGGCTATTTTATCATTGTTTTAAACTAACAAAAAGAGTTGTAAGAATAGTATGGACAATTCCTGTTTGCCAGTTTCCTTTATTACTAACATTTTACTATGGTGTATTTGTAATAACTGATGAACCAATGTTGTTAGATTACCATTGGAAGTACATACTTTTTACAGAATTCCTTAGCTTTTCCCAAATATCCTTTTTCTATTCCAGGGTCTCATCCAAGATATTGTGTTATATGCTTCCTTAGGCTTCTCTTGGTCCCTCAGGTATACTCAGGTACTCCTTGTTTCTAATGGCCTTGACAGAGTACTGATCAGGTATTTCGTATGTTTTTCTCATGGTTAGACTTGGGTTATGAGTTTTGAAGAGGAAGAAACCACAAAGGTAAAGTACCATTTTCATCACATCATATCAGAGGCAATTAATAGCATGGCTTGTCATTGTTGATGTTGAACTTGATTACTTGGCTGGGGTAGTATATGTCAGGTTTTCCCCACTGTACTTTTTGGAAGGAGATCACACTTAAGGAGTAGGCAGTCATGCTCCACTCCTTGCGGGGATTTACTGAGACAAATTATTTGGAATTCTTCCATATGGAGGATTTGTCTATTGTGTCCTATTTATCTGCTTGTTTATTCATTCAATCATTTATTGATGTCAGTATGGACTTACGGATATCCATTTTATATTTTGGGGTATAAGCCAATACTATTTTATTATTCAAGTTGTTCCAGCCTTGGCCCCTGCAAACCCTTTTGACATACTCCCACATCTAGTTTTTGAGCACTTCCTTACTACCTCCTTACTTTCTGGTCCGCTAAGATATTCCAGGCTCATCGTGTATGTTCCCTACCCTGGTCTTAAAATCAGCTATTTTCCCAAGAAATCCAGTTCCTTTTATTAGAGAATTGTGTTAGAAACCAGAATCTAGATGCTTAGATTTCATCATCTCTGATCTACAAAGCAATAATTCCATATGGTACAACCTATCATTAATTTTAGTTTTACAAATGAGGAAACTGAATTGGAGATTCAGTAATATGCTTAAGATCTCCAAGCTCAAAGTGTCAGAACCAAAATTTAGATACCTAAAGTTACCGATTTAAATCAAGAGGCCATGAGTAAATGACATGAATCACTGGAGCTTCTTGTCAGCTACTCAGCTAATCTAGTTGCTCAAAGATGTTCTGCTTACTCTATGTTCATAGACTGTTGAGAAAACAGGACATTATATGAAGTCAACCTCCTTCATCAAGTAATTCACTGATTTTCAAAGCAAATTCAAAGAAAAAAGGTGTGTGGGGGGGCACCTACCATTTTTTTCCATAACCAGCTGCATTTTTAAACTACATATATCACTCACTCTAACCTCAGGAGATCAACTCAAAAACTTATCCTTGTCCATATTTTTTCCCTGAGACTGCAACACCTATAAATTGAACTACTAATGTGTTATACCAGCTTTTAGCAGTTTATAAAATGCAGTCAAAATCACTCAATGCTTGCCAGAGTTACTGCAGAATAAATACACCAACAGTTAAACATAAAATGTTTAGTCTTTGGTTTGAAAAAGACTTTATAGGGTTAGATCAGTTTACTTTCAAAGCTGGTTGTTCTTTTCATCACTATGTGTTCAAGATTGTGTCTTCATATGTCATTAATACAAATTAAAATGTACTAGAGCACATATCCACAACGTTTTTTTAAATGGAAAATTTCCTTTCTACTTATCTATCAAAAAACTTTCCCAATGATCTTACTAGAATAAATTCAAGATGAACTATTAACATCAATGAAATTAGATTTAAAGAACAATTTCCCTTCATAAGACCCAACCACACATAAGTCAGTTTCAAAAGAATCGTAAAAATAATCACCTAATTAAAATCTTTTATTCACAGATATGGTAACTAAATCTCTTAAGAAGGTAACAGTTTTTCCCAAAGTTGTCTGCTAGTTAACTGATGAAACAGGACTAAGATCCATATATTTTAAGACTAGGTTCTTTCTCTTCCACTGAACTGCCCTTTAGAATATACAGTGAAGTGTGTGTGTGTGTGTGTGTGTACACATTATGTTAGTAAGATTTTTTTGTTTAAGGATTTTCCATTCCTCTTTGATGAGGAATATGAGAACATGAATAAAAATGGTACTAGTAAGATTTTTTGTTTAAGGATTTTCCATTCCTCTCTGATGAGGAATATGAGAACAGGAATAAAAATGGTACTAGTAAGATTTTTTGTTTAAGGATTTTCCATTCCTCTCTGATGAGGAATATGAGAACAGGAATAAAAATGGTACTCCCACTTCTCCAGTACCCTCATTGCTTTTTCATTGCATTTAATTATTTTCAGTGCCCTGACTATAAACTGAGTATCTATTTTGTGCTAGGCACCAGAGTGTTAGATGCTAGGGAAATAAAGGAAAAGAAAAAAAAAGACAAGAGATGGTCCCTACCCTCAGGAAAGCTCTCAGTTGTAAGTTTATAGTACCTTCCTAAAAGTCTCCTTTGCTGACTCTTCCTCATCTTGCAAACTCCAGAACAGCAGTGTCCAATAGAAATATAATGTGAGTCACAAACGTGAGCTATATATATACATAATATAAAATTTTCTAACAGCTACAGTAAAAAGTATAAATTAATATATTTTATTTAACTAAATACATGTAAAATATTATGATTTTAACATGTAATCAATATAAAATAAGATATTTTACTTTTGGGGGCACCAAGTCTTCAGAATCTGCTGTAGTTTATACGTAGAGCACATCTCAACTGAGAACTAGTCACATTTCAAGGACTCAAGAGCCACATGTGGCTAGTGGCTCCTATATTGGACTTGTAAGTCTAGAAAACAGTAGTGTCCCAGCTCTCAGTCTTCTTTATCTACACCCACTTCTTTGGGTATCTCAAACAATCTCATGACTTTAAATACAGTACCATCTATTTTCTAGTGATTCCCAAGTTTACATCTGGCCTAGGACTCTCACCTGAAATTTAGATTCATACTCAACTAACCAGACACAAACCTAATGTCCCAAAATGAACCCCTGACTTCTAACCAGCAACCCCTACCTAAGTCTCCTCCTCTTCCTTTCAGTAAATGGCAACTCCATCCTTTCAGTTGCTCAGGCCAAAAACCAGTCAAGCTTCACCTTCTTAGTTCTCTCACATCCAAGTTATCATGTGTGTCTTTAAAACCAGATTATTAAATTCAGTCAAAGCTTATACAGTTAATAAAATACAGTGAGAAACTTACTTCTCAACACTTTTACTGCCAAGCCCTTCTTCATGTCACCAGTATCTCTCACCTAAATTACAGCAACCACTTAACTTCATCACTCCTTGCACCTCAACAGTCTACTTTCCACACAGAAGCCAGAGTTTTAGAACCTACATAACATATTGCCCCCTTCAATGAATTTGTCTCATAGCAGAGTAAAAGTCAAAGTTCCTACAGTAGATTATGAAGATCTACAGAACTCTATGAAATCTGGCCCATTACCCTATGGCCTCAATTCTTATTATTCTCTCCCTCATTCATACAACTCCAGCCACACTGGCCTCCTGCTGTCCTAGGACACCTGGGGACACTGTAGGCATGACCGGGGGCTTTTTTACTTGCTGTTCACCCACCAGAAACACTCCTACCCTAGAATCCATAAATCCTGCTCCTGATTTCTTGCCATTCGTCGCTCGAATGTCCCTATTTACACCTGCAAGAGCACTCTTTCCATCCTCCTCAAGGCCTTCCCTACCCTCCTTCCCACCTTCTCCCATCGGGTTTGCCAACCCGTGGTCTGTGCTGTGAATGTCCTTATCGCTTTTCTTCCTCTACTGGAATAATAATTCCACAAGAACAGGGAGTTTTGTTTGTTTTAGTCTTGGCTTTATTCCCAGTGCTAGAACCTAGCACACAGTAGTTAATAAATAAATATATGATTGAATTTTAAAAAGTCAAGAATCGTGTGGATTAAATAAGATAATGTATAAAGTTGTAGTACGGTCCTTGGAATATAGTAGCCACTCATAAATATTAATCTATTCCCTACCACTGTGGTGCTTTCCATAAAAGAAAATAAGAATCTTAAAATTACATAAATTTTTAAAGCCATGGAACACACTCTTTATATCTCTGATCACTAATTATTCAAAAGACAATTTAAAAGACATATTGTAGAAGTTACCTAATTTTAAAAAATCCCTTAAATACAAAATTCAGTAGGTATTAAAAAATACTAACTCAGAATGTAACATTGCTTAAAATTCACAAAAAAATTAAATGAAGTATTATTTAAGTCACCTTTACACAGAGTTATAATCCATGGCTTTTCTCAATAGAAAAATTAAAATGTATTCACAATGTTCAACGAGACTTCACTTTTACTAATCTATAATTTGTATCCTGCCTTCCTCTAAGAGTATTTGTGTTAGTCTAAGGAACTATCAGTTTTTAAAAATCATACATTTTGTTTAACTGAAAAAACTTCAATGAAAAAAATGAACCTGGTCTGACTTTTAACAGTTCTATAAAGTATTTTGTGTTTAAAGCTAGAATAATCAGAATCGAAAACATCAATAAAATGTGATCTCTCTCCAAAATACTGAGTGCCAGAGTCTTCAAGTGATTTGCCCACAGAGGACACAATGTTACTCACTAAACTGAGATTAAAAGTTCGTGGCCTTAAATACATGGCCTACACACTGTAGTGCTTCTCAAATATACTAACTAGGGTCTTATTAGCCAACCAACTATGCTGATTGCCCCTACCCCTCTTAAAAAATAAAATAAAATAAAATAAAAGCATGCATCAAATGGTACACTGTAATTCAGCACGACAAGTTATATTTCAGGAAAGAAGTTTATAAAGAACAGACACAAACATGAGAAAAGAGGTAAAGTATATGTTAGAACTGTCATGGGGCTATTACAAAGAATGAGTAGAAGAAATAAGTGTAAAATGCCATGGACATATGGTTTATTATTTTTTTTCAAAAAGCTAACAACTCATGGTGTTTGTATGTCTTCAGAAATTTGGACAATTGTATTTTATCTCAATGATAATGACGTACCTCACGTTCCATGCAGTGGTAAAGTCTGGGTTTAGAAGCAGCAGGGTGCGTGTGACATCTATCAATTCTAAAATAAAGAGAAGTCATATTAAAAAAACAGTCCTACCCCTTAAAGCCTGGCTTCTCTTTAAGCTCTTTATTTTATTTTATATAGATATATAGCTCACATTATACTAACATGTATATCTCATGTCACAGTAATTTTCATGACAAATATACTTTGCTCTAAGTTGTCTTGGATAAGGAGATTGTCCTCAAGATTTTCTTCTACTTATAAGCATAACTCTTCCATAAAAGTTGACAGTGAAATAATTTATAATACAATATGCCTATAATGAATAATCAAATCAACCTCTTCATTGTTTTAGTAGTTTTGGGCACTAATTTAATATTTACTAAGGAAAAGAAACACAATTTCTATACTATTGTTCATTTAATTCCATAAATATTTCAAGAACTGACTGTACAAATTTTCAGAAGGAAAAATAGAATCCCTCATAATCCAACTTATTTAACACAATTCATTTCCAGTCCCCTGAAAGGCTATCCTTTCTTACATACACTATTACATAGCTATAGCAATGATGAATATATAATTTTGTTATATATTTTTCATTTCACATTATTACACAGGCATTTTCCTATAATGCTACAGTATGCATTTTTAACAGCCGTGAAACAATCCCATAGTTTAATATACTATTATTTACCTTATTCTTTATAGAGTGTTTCCTGTTTGTTTTTCCTGTTATATATAATATTGCTAAAACATTTTAAAACACACTTTTTATTTGATTATTTCCTGTGGATATACTTCTAGGAGTAGAACTACTATGTCAAACAACATAAAACCAGTAAGGCTCCTACTAGGCATGTACTGTATCTATTTATATAACATTAGTGTACTTAAGTCCCTATAACTACAATCTATATAAATATACTTAAAAAATAAATGTGGCAAATAAATTATACATTGATTCTGTTTTAATTTACATCTCTAATTTATAATCACTAATATGAACATTTTTTGTTTACTATTTTCTTTTATTTTCATCTTATGAACAGCTTATTCATATTCACTAGATTTTTCTCTACCATTGTTTTGACATAATTCCTATATATTCAAATAAGTTCCATAAGCCTACATTTAATAGAACAAAGTTAGCAATATTTAGATATATTGTCTTTATTTTACTAAAACTGAAAAGAGAATTTTAAGATTAAGATTATCAAGCTAGGGCATACTACTAAATTAATGAAATGCATACCACAGTTCACATTAAATGCTAGGTAAATAAAATAATAAAATTGTTATAATTATTTAGCCTCATTGTATACCAGACATAAGTACTTTATTTATATTATTTCACTGAATTCTCAGAATCATTGTCCAAGTTATTCTTGTTTCACTTTACAGATAGGAAAAGTAACATTTAGATAGTTTAAACGGTTTGCCTATAGTCACTTAATGTGCTGCAAGGTCAGCATCTGACTGCTTTTAATAACTCAATTATACTGCAATTGAATTGTCTGCCTATAATAATTGGAACAGTCTCAGTGTTTAAGTAAAAGATAAACATTTTAAAATCTAAAAACACACATAAATGCATCCCTATAACCATTTAAAAATATTCTGGCAAAAAACAATTATTCTATTCTAAACCACATTAATCAAGAGATTAACATTTATTGTGAGCCTATGGCTTCATTACTAATGAGTATATTATAACATTTGATAAATGAACAACAAAAAGTAGGGTGGACACACATTTATTTCCTACCATTTTCTTCATTATAAGCATTACATGCATAAACACAACATATCTATAAAGAATAATTCAATTAATCTCTTCCTTCTTTTACTTTCAATAGTTTTTGGCACTAATTTAATATTTACCAGGAAAAAATAAATACAAATTTCTATACCGTTATTCACTTAAATCCACAAATATTCTAAATATTGACTATGTACAAAGATTAAAGGGGGCCCTTAGGACTGAGAGAATGGCTTTAATGATAAATAAGACCTGATCTTGCCCTCTAGAAGATTACCCTTTGGTTGGAGAGGACATGTAAACAATTATGTTAGGCAAAATGAAATATCTGTAAAGTAGAAATATATGGTACATTTGGGGACCACCAAAGCAGCTGCAATCAGTTCTTACTGGAGTCCCCAGGGAAGGCTATAAAAAAAAGGTAGTAAATGGCATTGCAGACCATGGAGAAAAGTTTGAGCCAAGCCTGTTAAGAGGCATGGAACTTCACACACAGTGTACTCTCAAAAGATTATGGGTATCAGAGCATGACCAGAGCAGAGGGTGCTGGAGAAATGTGCCAGGAAACTAGAATCCAGTCCCAATCTCCTTGTTACTCGGGTCTTCAACTCCTTGCTCCTCAAGTGATACTCTCCACTGGACCAAACCCCACCATTCACTAATCACCTCCTATCTGCCTACCTTCTCTTCTCTGGGTATAACTCAGATTTTCCTGCTTGCCATTCTCTCTGCCAGAAATGTCTTCCTATCCCTGAAAAATTATTTTTAAAAGCATCTTTCTTCCTAAAGACTTTCCTGACCTACCTAGTTGGAAGCAATCTTTCATCTCTATGTTCTGTGTGTATCTTATTTTGTAACTGATCTTGATAAACAATATCCTCTTCATGAGGCTAAATTTTTTGGAGGCAGGTCCCATTTAATACAGCTACAAATTACTCCTTCACTCAAGATAGATGAGAAAAATATGGCCTCTGCCTGGGTTCAAATCCCAGTTTCTACACTTACTGTCTACATAACATTCTTGAAGTTTAGTTTCCTTATCTGTGACATGGTGACAATGAGATTCAATCTATATGTTGTGAGCAATGAGATTCATTCCATATTGCCATAGCTGCTTGACAGTGACTATTCAGTAAATGTTTGTTCAACTAAACACCATTGCTCCTCATCAAAAAATGAAAATTTTCGACATTAATTTATCAAAGAATAATGAGGCCATTGTTCCTATAATGAAGCTGTCTAAATTTCTAAACTTGTAAAATAAATAACGTAATAAAAAGTAAAAAACAAATCTCAGTTGTTAAGAAGCTATATAAAAATGTTTGTGCATGATGGGAAGGCCTCTAGTATTTTTTTTGGAGTCCATCATTTTTCAATCCATTATACTACCTAGATAAATTGGTATTTTGTTTCTTGAACTCTCCCTTTCTGTATTTTTTTTTTTTTAATGTGTGTGTGACCAGTGGTTGTTGCTATTTGGTTGTACTTCTAATGCAACTTACCTACACCGCCCATAAATGAAGACAAGTTCATCCTCCATGAGAGAGATACTTCTGTACAGCAGCACAAGGCAAAAACACAGAAAATACCTATGGCCCCACTTTTGATTTTGTGGTTGTGTGAAGAGAGCAGAAGGCTAATCAAAGTAACACCTCCTTTACTACAGGGTCTCCCCCTAGCAGGGCAACAGCAGCTGTTGGGTTCAGAGCCCAGCTCTACTACTTACTGGGAAGCTCCTGGACATATCACTTTACCTTTCTGTGCCTAGTGTCCTCCCCAGATGTAAAAGAGAGCTAATAATAATACTGCCTCGTGGGGATAGTAAATGATTTAAACCCACTAAGTGTTAGGACACTACCTGACAATAAGCACCCAATGATAATTCCTGTTACAAAGCTTGTATTTCCTAGCCCAGTTCCACAAACAATGCTGGGACTGGGTGCCACCAGAGGGAGGAAAAGAATCTCCTGAGCTCTCTGAGAAGTGACTGCTGAGCAGAGGGGATACTTCTCACTTCTAAGAATTTCGGGTTTTAAAACCTATCCACAGCCTCCATCAACCATCAGTGTAACACATTCAGCCACAGCCCTTCTCCTCTTCTCTCTGGCGAATGGCTCACTCTTCCAGATTTAGGAGTCAAGTTCAGGACTTCCTTAAGGAAGCATTCCAGTCTGATCCAAGAGGTGGGAATGAAATGGAATATCAAAAATGGGAAAGGGCCAATGAAGAAAAAGTTAACTAGGTGAGAAATATTGGACATCATTTAAAGACTCATTCCTGAATTACATGTATTTTTTTGCTCTTCTTCCACACTGGCTCAGGCTAAAGGGGAGAAAGGAAACTAGTGTTTCTTGAGCGCCTACCACATGCCAGCACTGTGCTGGGTGCTTTACACACACCACTTTGTGTGATCCTCTAACCAACCCTCTGAGACCTATCAGTGTGAAATAGAAGGAGGTTAAGCAAAGTGATGTTAGTGTACTGATGAACTGAATCTAAATCCAGGTCTGTGCAAAGCAGATGCTATTTCCACCCTAGCATACTGTCTACAATTACTCTGCCCCCTTGGAGTGAGACTTGAACCAAAGGTCTAAAGATAAACATGTTTCTTTGGTTGTGTATAATTATTTCACTTTCTACATTTCATCAACTATATACCATTTTCCTTTGCAGTTCTAACCAGAAGATGTGAGCTACTGAAATCCCTGTCATCTCTTGATATTAAATAAATCTCTCTCCAAACAACAGAACATATACCAGCAAATAACTGTTTCTTTGTTACACACACTCCAACATACAACTAACTCGTCATCCCATCACAAGAAGAAAATGAATTAGGGTATATTATACACAGGAAAGTAGCTAAATCCAGCTGTAGCAAGGAGGAGATACAAGGATGCTGCAGAAAGGTCAGAAAAATCAATGTGCTTTCTTTGCTGCACTGAACTCTGGAAATAGCCCAAGGCCAGTAGTTATGTGACAGTGGTCACTGGGTTTGACAACTGTCTTTGACAGAGATATGCTTTCATGCATTTAGAAAAAAATCCAAGGTCAACTCTGATTGGTTAATCTCTTTCTCCAAAATACTTTTAGGTTACAATGAGAGGCTTGAGGTAAAGCTATATGGTAAACACCAAAAGGTCATTTATCACAAAACAGTCACTGAATAGATAGTCAAACTAAGCTAAAGGCTTTTGCTGACCAAACTTATTACTTTTTTTTTTTGTGGTATGTGACCCTAGCGGGAACTGAACCTGGGACTCTCTGGTCCACAGGCTGACGCTCAACCGCTGAGCCAAACTGGCCAGGGCATTGTTACTTTTTCAAATAAATGTCTGTTGAACACATAAAATGCTGAGTGAAGAAAGACAAACCATAACCGCCTTTTCTAACGAACTCACAATCAAGCTGTGGAAAATGTTATTTAAATAATCAACTACAATAAAGTGTGGTAAGTGTTACTATGCAAGCGGTCTGAATAAAGGACTCCCACAGGCGTGCAGAGAAGTAACTGCTGTTTCCTGGAGCAGTCTAAGAGGCTTTATGGGGATGTGGGTGTGGGTATGTTTGTGCTGGCAACCCCAACAATAGTGACAACTGAAGACAAGAACCTGGCCACAGCAAAGGCACGGAAGTAAGGCAGCAGTACACAGCAAAGTCCAAGAATGGAACAGTATATGTTGTGGCTGAAATGTATATCACATGGTTGCAAAACTTAAATGCTTTCAGGGTTCAAATAAATGTCAAAACATATCAAAGCAAACCTGGTAAGTATCAACTGATACTCTGACCCCATGTCTAAAGGAGGCTGTAGTAAACTGGAACAAGTTTGCCTAGTCAAGAAAAGCAGAGGCTATGAGCCTCAGCCAGTTGGTGCTGTGGAGAAATTTATGCACCCAAGGCTTCTGATTTTTCAAGTAAAGACAGAAATCCAGATTTTCATGCTAATTTTAAAAGGTCGTCCTGATTTTAAATGTTTATCCAACTAATTAAAAACAATTTAAAAAGCATTATACAAGCCAAAACAAAATGTATCTGTGGGCTGGCTTTAGTCCCAGGGCTTAGACTCTAAAACCTTTGATGCTGAATTTGAAGTAGAAAAGGTTGTTAATGTAGGCTGAAGACAGACTGTGGAAGCCCTTGAATATCCACCAACTCTACTGAGAGTGGAGGCATTATGAAATAAGATGAGTGTTGTTTGAGATGACTGGCCAGTGGCATGATGAACATAGATTACCTAAGAGAGATTGAAAATTGGGTAGAGCAGCTATGAGATAATGACATTTGTCCAGATGAGAAATAAGAATGCAGAGCTGAAGATGGTTTTTAAAGAAATAGCACAAATATGGAACAGAGACTGAGAGAGAGGGAGGAGCAAAAGATGATAATGGAATGGCACACCTGGAGATGGTCAAAGTGTGGGGCAGGCTCTGCTCAGCTAGGACTCCAGTGCTGTGGACTTTTCTCTTGCTTTTTCTTTTTATCATGGATTCCTCAAAAATCAGAAATACAGTATCTCCCAAACCAAGTATGGCTATTACTGCATGAGGCTTTTTAAAAAATATCAATCTTGCCTGGTTGGTGTGGCTCAGTGGTTGAGTGTTGATCCATACACCAAGACATCACCAGTTCGATTCCTGGTCAGGGCACATGCCCAGGTTGTGGGCCAAATCCCGTGTGGGGCAGGCAGGAGGCAGCCAATCAATGTTCTCTCTCATCAACGTTTCTATCTCTCTCTCCCTCTCCCTTCTTCTCCCTCTAAAATCAATAAAGGGAAAAAAAAAAATCAGTCTCTAAGCAATTAAACAGAGATGCTGTGATGGTTAATTTTCGTTAAATCATGGTTAAACTTGACTGCCTACATGTACCCAGATTAAATTTTATTAAATGTTATTTCTGCGTGTGTCTGTGATGGTGTTTCCAGATGAGATTAGTATTGGTAGACTCAATAGAATGGCCTCCACAATTTGGTTAAGCATCATCCAATCTGTCCAAGGCCTAAATAAGACATGAGAAGGAAGGAGAAATTCACCCCTTTTTTTTGCTTCCTGTCTGTCTGCTTGAGTTGAGACACTTCATCTTCCCTGGCCTCTGGACTGGGACGGAAACCAATGGCTCTCTGGTTCACAGGCCTTCAGTCTCAAACTAAGTTATATCACTGACTTCTCTGGTCCCTCACCTTGCAGAAGGTAGACTGTGGGATTTCATCGCTTCCATAATCATGCAAGTCAATTCGTCATTACACATATATAATTTTCTGCTGGTTGTTTCTCTGGAGAACCCTAATACAGATAGATGCTTTCCAAACATCTAAGGAATTCAGCACATTAATGAGAGTATGAATTCAGTTTGATTAAAAAGAAAAAAATCTATCCCAAGAATAAAGGTCACCTTCAGCTACAGAATGCATTCTCAGGAGATGCCTACCTAGGGTTTTGGCATGATCAATCACACAGACGTTGACATTTCTGAAATTGTCAGGTTTCTTCACTTAGCTCTTCTTATTTATATATTTTCTACAAAACCAGTTTTAAAGATACAGCATTTTCATAAATAACTGCTTTTTCCAAACTTTTTTTCTTAACAAGATACTTCAATGTTCTAATAGCTTCATTCAGAAGTTTGGCAGAATACTTGTATAAAGTTAGTCGGGATTTTCAAGTATCTTTTTCTGTCAAATCAGAAATTCACTTCCGTATTTTTCCTGATAATACAATATATAACCTGAGCTATATGTACCACGAAACTAGACTATGCTGTGCCCACACACCAAAACTGTGAGACGGAAAACTGCCTCCCTGAGGATGTGGGCTGGGCTGAAATCGAGGTGCTTCTGTACTCAAGCGCAGCTGCATCAGAATTGGGAGTTAGATGCCAGCTATTCCTGTGAGCGCTTTTAAGCAGGTCCCCTTTGGCCCGGGTCCTCCTGCGCCTATCAAGACTAAAACTACCTGATGAGGAGATTTAGCAAAGCCGACTATGCAGTATCCATAACTATAAGAAAATATAAGAAGCAGGGAAATGGAGAGGACTTGGAAGGCTACAAGAGTTGGGCTAGTACACATGAATAGGCAAAAAACAATAATCTGAAACAAAAATAGCCTTTGACATTTAAAAATTTACAGTTTCTTTTCTATAAGAACATCATTCTGTCACCATCCCCCCACCCCAAGTTAGTTATATATTGACTCAATTATACATTTCTGTGTGCCAGAATGCACATACAGCTCTGTTTGGCAATAATAATAATAATAATAATAATAATAACTTAATGGATTCACAGGGTATTACTTTGTACCTTAATGTTACTGAAACCTTCTACATATAGTGTGATGGAATGGAGAAGGAAAGAGGGTCTAACCATAGACAAATATCCTTACCTTTAAATTTATGCCTAAATCTATATCTTTAAGTTGATGCCACAAACGTAAGCTATGCCATAAACTTAGGCATAGCCTTTTAATTAAGATTCTATATATATATCTCAGAGGACTAAATGAGTGAGTCATACAAAAAAAAAACTATTTGATACATTAAATCTTCAAATCAGACTCCTTTTCACTGGTCTAAACAGGGACAAGTGCTATTTATCTACTATGACAGTATGTTAAAGACAATGCTGAAACAAATATAAGGAATTGCTATGTCATACCTTTGGTAACACTCCACAAAGAGACTGTTTTTCATTCACAGTAAGTTTCTTGAGTAAAGAGAACATGTATTATTCATCTTTATATCCCCAACAGTATTTAGAACAGCTTCTGCTATGAGTATAGGCCTTTGGTAATGGCTACCAAACTGATAATTAAAATTCTCTAGGAAACAAAGTTCTTATTCAAAATTAGCCACCAAGCATATTGAGCACTTTTTAAGGTACTGCTATATGTGGGAAGGGGCAGGAGTTTTACAAAAGTAGTCGAGAACATGGACTTGGATGAGTACTGTCCAAAAAAGAGAGAACTCGGGTCTTTCTTTTACTGAAAAGTAAATAGAATTTGTGTACAGAGAGGCTTAATATCACCTCTAGTGGGGAGACCAAGAAAAGAGCAGGTGGAATAAATAGGGATTGTCTGATGCAGCAATGAGGAGCGGAAGAAGTGAATGCTGGGATGTTTTCTTCTGCTCATATCTGCATAAGAACAGAACACAGAGGGCTTGAGCTCAACTGGGTTTCACAGTGTGAGAGCACCTTCATAAATCACTGAGCTGGTTCAAAGTACAACTACCACCATCTTGCCTCCATTATCTCATTTGGATTGCTACTAAAATGAGTTCTATTGTTTATATAGTACTGAAGGATTAGAAACCAGAGAATCTGAGCTTGTTGCAACTGCGGTACTCTTCAGTAATTTTCAAGGATGTCTTCTTTAAATACAGTTTAATAAATGGCCCCTATGTATAAAAAAAGACAAAATCAGAATTGCTCTGATTTACTGTTCAAGTTACTGTAGGCAGCCTGGCACCCTGTTTGAGGCACCATTCACAGAATCACTACAGATGCAAAATTTGAAAACTACTGGTGAGTCCAATCTCCTCACTTGACAAAGGTTAAGCACCCACCTAGGCAACGAATGAAAAGAGCCAGAACTAGAATCCAGGAATTCCAATACCCAGAGAGGGTTCTTCCCACTATATTCCATGCTGCTTTCAAAAAACAAAGGAGGAAGACAGAGTTCATACTTACCATCTTTGTTCAGCCATTGCTTTCTCGTTCTGTACAAAAGGAGCTTGTTGTGGACATATGGTAAAAGGAACTTGACACACCAGCTCTCCACACCAAGTTTGTTTTCAACCAGGACTATGGGGCTCCGGTTATACCTAGCTTCAGGACATGGGATCAGGCCAATTTCGTCTCTTAATATGTAAAACATAAAAAAACAATTAAAGATAAGAATACTACCTTTTCACATTGTTTCAATCCTATAGAGTTTTTTAAAAAATCTACAAATTCTCCTTTCTTAACAATATTATTTAGCTCACCTACTAGAGTGATAGACATTTTAAAAAACCAACAGTTTTCAATACTGACAACATTACAGGAAAATTAGTATGCTGTACTCCCTGTTGACAGGAATAAAAGTCAGTCTAATCTTTGAATGGAAATTGGAAAATGTCTTTCAAAATTTTGAATACACATACTCTTTGACCCAGCAATGCCACCGCTCAGAAATCGTCCTATGCCAAAATATATGAATAGGATGTTTACTGCAACACTGCCACAAAATTGGAAATAATCTAAATGTGCATCAATATAAGAATAGTCAAATATACACATGGCTTATCCATGTGGTAAGAGGTATAAAATGAGGTAGAACTGCATATGCTGTAATGACAAGGATCCAGTATCTATGAAACAAACAACAAAGCACAATGACAAATATAATGTACATCACAAAGCCTTTTGTATAATTTTTTTTAAAAAAAGATGCATTAAAAAGTTTATTGGAGGGATACCAAGAAACTTTGGGGATGATATTTTTGTACAGTTTAAATTTTCTCATCACTTGTATGTATTATTTCTATTTTTTTAAATGTCAAATATAGTTATGTTTACCTGCTAATAAACGTATGTGGAACAGAAACAAATTATTATAAGTTATCATGGACATTTTTCTCTTTTCTTCTTTATAATCCTTTAAATTTTATTTAAAAAACACACTAATAAATGTTCAAACACAAAATACATTTCAGAATTTGATCATTTTCATTTAAGGCACCTATATTCCTCAATCCACTTCAACTCAAATTGAAAAGTTATGTTACAGGCCAAGGTTTAAAATAAACAATATGTAAGGCAGTGGATTTACACAGTAAATGAACCAGCAAATACAGTGTTTTTGCAAAGCCTGCACACATGCTTTTCAAATATAAAGAAGTTAATAATTCTTGCTTACAAGGAGCATTCCTTTGAAAACAGTATGTCCTTCCCTTAATTAATGAATAGCTAATAATAAACCTTTTAATAAAAGCAGTTGACATAAATAATAATATCTTTAGAGTGTCTAAATAGATTTTTTAAAATGTTTTTTCAAAACAAAATAAAGACCTGGTTTTCAGAGCTTGTGTGTGACATTATCTATTATGTCCCTGGGATTCTCCTGCCAAGAAGACAGTAGTTTAATAGATGCAAAGAGGAGGAAATGTGTCCTATTAAAGGCTATAAGAAAAGCCTTCTCTTTTTGTTAGGCCACCAACAAAAATTGGTGGGAGGCTGTGGAACTCAAAATCCCTCCCGGAAACTCCAAACTGTATAGCTCAAAGGTAACCTGCTTTCTACTTTCTACTTATCACTTCATCAGTGACACAGGTATATACATAAATATACCCTAGGGGTTTCAAGTCACTAACCATTCTTTCAAGGTAATTTTACTCGCAAGTAGATTTTAAGGCCTAGGGCTTTTTGTCCTGACAATTGGCTCAGTTGATTCAGAGGTGTTCTATATACCATGTCAATACTATCTGAACATTTTATAAATACTACTCTAATGTACTGGGTATTGTGCTAGGTTCTGAAAATGCAAAAATGAATAAAACAAGGTGGTCCCAGACTTCACAGAGCTGATAGTTTTGATGGGGAGTTGTGTCAATATCTATAATAAAATGTTACCACTTTGCCATTCTAGTAATATAAATAAAGTTCTGGAAAAAGAATGAGCCAATGCTTAGAGAGCATCTGAGGTCAATGTCCAGTACATATTTCAAAATGTTTTTGCATTTGTACTTGGTGATAGGTCAACTAGCTACATCTAGATCTGTACCTGACTAATATATGTTGGAATCTCAGGTATTTTCTGGTACTCAGGACTTACTATATAAAGTAGAACATTTAAGAGAATAACTAGAATAAAAGTAAAAACAGTAACAAAAACACCTCAGTTTAATTATTTCAAGAAAGTTTGTTATCAGAGGTCCAACAACCACCTACAATACTGCAAAGAACTGTAAAAGTCAACAATATAAATGCTGGAGTAACAAGAATAAAAGAATCCTAGCCTCTGGGTAAAGTCTGACATTTGGGGTTAGGGGGAGTTATAACTTGAATTCACAATGTAAAATCCTGCCTTATTCACTGTTTTTACTTAAAATAAAATGCCCAACTAAATGTACCTAAATGACAGAACAGAGCCATCTCCACACACACACACACACATTGCTTTAGATGGCTACTGAGCTTCCAAACAAAAATTAAAAAAACAAGAATGGCCCAGCCTATGTGGCTCAGTGGTTGAGCATGGACCCATGCACCAAGAGGTAACCAGTTCGTTCCCCATCAGGGCACATATCCAGGTTGTGGGCCAAATCCCCAGTGGGAGGCAGCCAATCAATGTTCTCGCTCACTGATGTCTCTCTCTCTCCCTCTCCCTTTCTCTCTCTCTAAAATCAATTTAAAAAAATATATTTTTAGAAAAACAAGAATGCCTTGGATACAGTAGGTGCTCAATAACTGCTACTGAAAGGCTGATTATCCTTGCACTTCGGTGATAATATTCAAATAGATAATTTTTTTAAAAAATCACTTCTTCATTCTGCAAAAAACAAAACAAAACAAAACACATTAACTCTGATTTCCTTCTAATGCAGTGGGTCCAAGTCCTAGCTCTGTAAATGTGATATACAGATCATGTCACTTGGCTTCTATAGGTCTCATTTTCCTCATTTCTAAAATGTGGTATTGCATTTCATCTCTACATAAAGGTAATGGGCTGCTAGGTCTCATCCAACTTTCAAATATTAAGACTGAGAAACCTGGCAGCTCTTTGCACATAAGAATGTAAACAGTCCAATCAGGAAATGTAAAGCATTAGGAAATAATAACAAAAATAATTAAAAGAGAGGCAGTAAGATATAGAGACAAAAGGACCTCGGATCTTCCGAGGTCCAGGATTCAAGCTAGTCTCCATTCTACCACTGACTGTCAATGTGAATTGGGCAAGTCACTTGCCATCAGTATCCTCATCTGATATACAGGAATAATAATGCCTTCCCTGCCTGTTATGAAAAGCAAACAATACATTGTAAAAAAAAAAAAAAAAATGTAGTAAGCTATAAAGTGCCAGGCAAAAATGAAGTATATTAAGATTAATTCAGTTAAGAGCCTGAGGTCAAATTGAAAAGTTCCTTGCTTAACAGATACTGAGAAGGTGAGGCAAAAAATGTTAAGCCTTTACTGAGTTATCTGACCCTAAGATACAGTGCTTTGCTGCTTCCTAAAAATAAAACAAGTGCTTTAGACAGATAGGTAGGTCAGTAAGCTTCCAAATAACACTGTGCTTGACTTCAGACTTCTGCGTCTAGTCCCTTAGGTTATACTCCACTTTTTTTTTTTCAGACAATTTAAGGATTCCAGAATCATTTTAAAATTGGAAGGGACCTCATTCCTCCAGTCTCTCATTTTATCAGATGAAGAAACTGAGGTCCAATAAGGTCAATAGGATTACCCAAGGTCATTTTGCCTGTGGCTAAATTAAAAATTGGGACTTCCTAATATTTAAGCTTCAAACCCTTGAAGCCAGAGCGAAGATAAAAACATCAGTGAAAGTAAACAGGATTTAGGTTAATTCCTTCTAGATTTCTGATATTTATTTATTTATTTATGTATTTATGTATTTATTTATTTTATATATTTCTGGTATTTAAATTCTAATTTCATACTTAAGAAAAATTGGAAAACTCAGGGAAAAATAAACTAAAAGTCATCTGTCATCCCTCTACTACTATTTTATTTGAGTATGCATCCTTTTTTCTAAGTATTTTGCCAAAGTGGGATTATATTAGACAAACTACTTTATAATCTGTTTAAAAATTTAATTCACATTAATCATTTTCTTACTAATTTATATATATTTAGTGGTTGTAATGATGGTGTTATCAATATCAAATACAGCTCCAGTTACTTCTTTATGAAATAGTCTTAGAAATTTACAAGTTTTCCATTGCCATCAAATTTCATTCTTGGGTTTCTGGAAAATTGAGATTTAACAAAGATACTCAGGTAAATACCTGCATTACCAAGGTCATAACATTTTAAAAGTCATTAAACTTTGGACAATAATCAAGTTGTAATCTTTTCAAAGAGATACCATAATGTTCACTTTTTAGGTTACCTTTGAAGGCTGCTCCAAAGGCATAGCAACTTGGAATGTCCCAACACATTTACTTAGAAAGATCATACACAGCACAGTACATCTCTGAGTGCTTCACTTCACAATGGGGATCCACTGCCTTCCAGATGAAGTTCAAGGTTCACATAACACTGATATTGACTTTGTTCCTCGTGTTTAGACAGTTTCTCTTGTCTGTACTTTTCAGAAACATCATCAATCAACTAGAGATGGTCCATTTATTATTCACAAAATATTGACCAGCTTCCCTTTGGGAGGGAAGGATGGTCCCCAAATACTAAAACCAAACCCTGCAATGTGGAGCGACTAAACAGAAAACAGCCCAAGGATTCAGGACAAATCTTTTAAATCTAGTAATAATTTTTTGTTTCTCTTCAAACTGGAATTTTTTCCAGGATGACCAAAAATGGAAGTTAGCAAATCTTCTAACGGAACTGACTTTGTATATCACTGAAATTATATTACTGACCTTATGTAGAAAATATCTACATAAATTACAAGTGTTTATTGTATGCAATATTTTATGTTAGATTTTACATACACTATTTCATTTACTCTGCACACTAATCTTATAAAGTAGGAATTTTAACCCCATTTTAAAAATGAGGAAAGAATCTTGTCTAAGTCTTCCCAGTTAGTAAATGACAAGCCAATATTCAAACCTAGGACTGTCAGACTCCAAACCCAAACTTTTACAACTAACTACAGAATTACTTAAATAAATAAATAAAAATCAAGTGTATGAAGACAAGACTCTATGGTTTCTGATTCTTCAGTTCAATTTGCAGATAATCTCAAACTGCCTTTCATTACTACTCCTTTCATGGGCCCTACCCACTATGCAGGAAGTGTGTATTTTCCCTGCACCAACTCTTATTTATCCCTCACGGCTCAATTTAATTATTATTCTCTCAGAAAGAACTATCTTAACCCTTTAATCTAAATTAGGCCTCTCTGTTATTATTCTTTCAAACCATGCTTCTTATCCTTTGGGGCTCTTTTCATAATCTCTGTTGATTTGTTTAAGGTTTCATTAGTGCAGGGACCATGTATGGTGTGTTCATCCATCTGCACCCTGCTCCTATCCTGTACACCCAGGATTAGCATTGTCAATAGAAGTGCTCTTTTGCTGAATGCTTGCATGGAATGAACGAAATTAAAGCAGAGCGTCAAGGACTTCCATAATCTGGCCCTATTGTATCTTTTTAATCACATTTGCTATCTGGGGTTAATTTACTGTTCCTTGTGGAGGTCTTTGGCTCCCTTTCTGAGACTAAATCCTACCTAGGATTCAAAGTTCAGCTCAAAACCCACCAACCCTAAGAGCCTTGGCCAAGACATACTCAGCTTCCCTTCTACTTTTAAGAATCACATAACACTTACTCACTGTACTGCTAGTCCAGTCTTTATCATAAACCACTTTGCAGGATTAATTTATTGTTCCTGCAGGTAGGTCTTAGGTCTCCATTTAGACCCGCACTGTGCAATAAAGTAGTCACTGGGTATGTGTAGTCACTGTGTATAAATCAATCAAGATTAAATAAAATTTAAAATTCAGTTACTCATTTGCATTAACCACATTTCAAGCACTCAATTGCTACATGTGGCTAGTAGCTTCCATTTTGGACAGAACAAATATAGAACATTTCAATCATCATAGATATTTCTGTGAGTATCTTGAGTATAACTATTTTTTATACTTCCTATTCTATACTGTGAAAAGAGTACCTACAGCACCTCGTAAACAGTAAGAGCTCAATAAATATTTTAAAGAGTAGTAAAAAAATAACTTGCTGGAGATCTTTGACATGACCCTAATTCCATTATAAACACCTGTCTTCCACTTTAGCACAGGATCTATACATCAATCTAATGTCAGTCCCTGGGTCAAGCCTTCAGTTGTTTTTCCAAAAGTAGTCTCTAAGAGTCAACAACACAAACAACATTTCTATGGTATTTTTCAGTTCATTAAGTGTTTCATAGTCACCATTCATATATTTTTTGAGGAACATAGGGATTCAAGCTAAGCCTATTTTTACCTAGTGGCAACTAAGTGCCAGATACTGTGTAAGGTGATTTTCCTGTGTTCTCATCAGCCTCACTAGATTAAGTGGAAACAGACTGAGAGAAGGTAACCTATCCACACCTACCACTAACAAATCCACATCTCAACCACTGCACCTTTGACTCCTCCTAGCTAGATATCTCTACAAAGGCAGTATGTTTAATGGAGTTGTACAATTACAATCTATCTTGTGTTTTGAGAAAAACAAAAACAAAAAGTAAAGAATGAAAACCTTTTTTTAAATACTAAAGAATTGTAATTAGGTACCAACTTTCAAGGTAAACAATATGTCCCCCCCTCCCCCCCCCATCTTTAACTATAAATATAGCCTATTTTGGAATAAAGGGCTAGATTGGGGAAGAATTATGGGCAATTTTGGTACGTGCCCCTAGTGGGAACCAAACCCGGAACTCTCTGGTCCGCAGGCCGATGCTCCAACCGCTGAGCCAAACCGGCCAGGGCGAATTATGGGCAATTTTGAAAAGTCCTCATTATAAGACATTTTAAAAGATGTATAGTAATATTACTGAAAATATCCTTATTGTAGAGAATATGTACTAAAATATAGCTGAAGACTACTATTGAACAATAGTAGCTATTTAATTTTAAGTTAAGCTATTTAATTTTTCAGATCTATATTATATATATTTCAAATGCCCATCTTATTTCATACTTTTAAATCTTGAATGTCCTAAATGCTTCTTAATAATTATAAACTATGCATTGATAGAGAGCATATGAATGAGATTTCACCATTAAAACATGATTAAAAACGTATTCAAGTCCTTTATGAATTTCAATAAATGTGACCCAGAAGTATTGGGAAGTGTTCCAAACAGCACTGTGTTAACCTGTCAAGCCAATGAACACGCGATCTGTTTTTTCAAATATAAAATACTGATGCTTTTCAAATCTACCTAAAAGGTGAGAAACTAAGATGATTACTGTACTTATTAGGCTTCATTCTAGCCTCTGCTATAATTTCTTCAAGAAAAATCACACCAGTGATGAGGAAATAGGCCCTTCATTTATCCAACTTTTTTTTTTTGAGGATGTCTCTTATTTGCACTAAAGCTCTTTCTGAAAAGGGGACAGAAAGACTGATATACAAGGCATCAAAGCATTCTTTAGAAAGCCCAGTACCCACTATGGTTACTGCCACGAAATCATTCCAAATACTCATTTTGAAAAAGGCAGCAATCACAAGGGAAAGGAAGTGGTCATTGTCAGAGGTGGCAGGTGTGTTTTGAGGCCAGCAGTGTTTTGTTTTTAATGAGGCACAGATGCAGGTCTCCAACTGTGTGCCACAAGGGAGCAAGACATCTGAGGGCTTAATTCTTTTGTAAGCATCACCATGAAGGAAAAGAACACTTTATTTAGATGTAGGTTTGGCACCTCTTTTTGGGGTTAGAACACTTAAAAAGAGTAATCCGTGTGTTCTAGTTTAAGGAATACAAAATTAAACATAAGCAATGAGATAAAGTGAAAATAATACAAAACTGGATTCCATGTTTCTTTTTGGGGAGGGTAGGAGGGATGAGGGATGGGAAAAGAGCTACACTCTTGCTTCTCCCTAACTCTTGTAAAATGTAGCCATATCTCCTCTTTGATGGCTTCCTTTTCATTTGCTACATAAATCAGAAGTGCCAGAAAGAATATAGTTTCTTCTGGTATCTTCCCAAAGTACTCCAAGTAAAATGGAAAGGAAGGGAAGATACAGTGTGTCTGTACCGTGGTGTTCTACTTAAAGTGGGCAGCAGTGTTTGGATTAAAAAATGAGCTAATATGCTTGCTCCCTGTTAGGATGGATCAGCTCATGCTAAAAAGTGTCCTAGTTTCATCAGACTCATCCTGTGCCTACATAAGCTATCCTCTTGAAAATGCTCTGTTCACCTTCAAAACAAAATGTTTCATCGGAGTCCCTCTACAATCTTGGGACAAGTGAGGCGAAAGTCAAAAGCAGCTTCAAAGTTCCTTTGGTTAGTAAACTGAGGGGGTGTGGGCCCACTGAAGGTAAGATGGTCTGTAAACCCCTCTTACCAGCGTCCGGGATGAGCCTCAGAAGACCTGTTTACGAAGCACATAGACCCACATCGTGTGTGTGCCCGTGTACTTTAAACAGACGTAGGATGTGGACACTCGGATGAAGTCTTTCGAGTTTCCTGAACTCCTGAAAGGGAAGGGAGTGGGGTGGGGAGCGAAACAAACTCGCTTTTGATTTTCCGAGGTCACTTCTAGGGACTCGTCCGCGAGCGCGTTCCGGCAGCAGAAAGCGGGCCCCGCCGGCGGCCGACAGTGATCCGGCCGCGACCCGGTTCTGTCCCTTCCGGCGAGCGGGCCAGGACCCGCCGTCCTCCAGCCGCCGCCCGAGGTCGGCTCCAGGCTTGGCCCCGCCCCCGCCCCCCCGACGACCCCCGGCGACCCCCGGCGACGGCGGCAACGCCTGCGCGCAACTCACATGTGCGGGTTCCTCCTGAAGGCGTTGGTGATGTCCTTCACCACCCGCTGCACCAGCACCGCCACCTCTTCGCTCGTCTCGGCCATGTTGGCGGCGGCCGCGGCGGCTCGGGCGCGCCTCCGGGACAGCGCCGTGCGGCCGGCGGGGGTTCCGCGGGGAGCGCGCGCGTGTGCGCCAGTTTGGCGGAGCTCCCGCCTCCGCCCCTGCCGCCGCCGCTGTCGCTGCCGAGAACTTCCGGGTCAATCCCTCGGTGGCCCGGGCGTGGCGCGCGCCATCCTGGGCGGCCCGGCAGGTCCCTGACTCCCTCTCGTTGCACCTAACCGAGTGTCTTAGCGTCCGAGAAGATGCTGCAGATTCAGTTGCAAAGTCACCTCCGGTCTCTCTTTTGCACATTTTATTTTCATTTCTAGTCCACTTGGGGCTAAAGAGTAAGTGGTCCTCAAGTCACCCCCCCGGGGCCAGAGACTTACCTGACATCCCCACCCGCCGCGCCCCTTCTTAGATGTTCAACGCCACCATCCAGGTCCCGGGAGTCCCAGGAGGAAAGTTCATTGCGAGTGCAAGTCCTGAGCAGTAGTTGCTTGGAGAGCTTGTTTGCTTTATTTTTCCATCTGCAGGGAGGAGGCCTTCTGAGACGCTCCTGGCAGAATGGATCCCAAGGGACCTTGTTGGTGACTTCCTTTTCCTGCTTGCCAATTTCGGCCTCTGGGCAGCCCTTTTCACCCATTAATTTACTAATGCATTAAAGGGAGAAATAGGGGAAAAAAAGGAAAAGTCACTTGCTATTTGAATATAGGAAGTAGGAGTTAAATGCTGAAATAATTTTTAGAGTTTTCTATGTGGAGTGTGTATGGTGGGCCCTTTCTATCTGCCACAGATTCGACCCACCTTGGATAGGAAATATTTAGGGGGGAAAGGTACCTTGTTCCTGAGAGTACTGTGCAATTAGGTCTAGGATGGTTGGGTCTATATTGAACATGTTTTTCTTTTCATTACTCTAAACAATCCTGTGCAACAACTATGTACATAGCATTTACATTATATTAGGTAAGATAAGTAATCTAGAGATGATTTAAAGTATCCCTGGCCGGTTTGGCTCAGCGGTTAAAGCGTTGGCCTGGGGGTCCTGAGAGACCCGGCTTCGGTTCCCGCTAAGGGCATGTACCTCGGTTGCAGTTTGTCCCAGGCCCTGGTCGATGGTTCGGGTGGCAGCCACTCGATGTGTCCCTTTCACATCGATGTTTCTCTCTCTCCCTCCCACTCTACCTGAACAAAAAATGGAAAAATGTCCTTGGGTGAGGATAAAAAAAGAAAAATAAATAAATAAATAAAGTATATGGGAGATATGTATAAGTTATATTCAAATACTAAGCCATTTAAAAAAAATTTTTTTATCCTTACCCGAGGACATTTTTCCATTTTTTGTTCAGATAGAGTGGGAGGGAGAGAGAGGAAGAGAAACATCGACGTAAAAGGGACACATCGAGTGGCTGCCACCCGCACAACCAACCAGGGCCAGGGACAAACTGCAACCTTGGATAGGAAATATTTGGATAGGAAATATTCTGCCCGTAGCGGAAACCGAACCCGGGTCTCTCTGGACCACACTGGCTGACGCTCTAACCGCTGAGCCAAACTGGCCAGGGCAAATACTAGCCCATTTTTATAATAGACTTGAACATCTGTGGATTTTGGTATCTGGGTCATAGAACCAACCCTCTGCCCATACCAAGAGACAACTGGACTTCATTTTGCACAAGGTTTGGAGTCCTTTGAACACTGTGTCAGCTTTGGAGTGAAAAAACCAGGGCCCTGACAGAGTTTGCTTTTGTAGCAATTTATCTTGCTACAAATCATTTTTGTAAGAAAAAGAGGATTTCGCCCTGGCCAGTTTGGCTCAGCGGTTAGAGCGTCGGCCTGCGGTCCGGAGAGACCCGGGTTCGGTTCCCGCTAAGGGCACGTACCTCGGTTGCAGTTTGTCCCCGGCCCTGGTTGGTCGTGCGGGTGGCAGCCACTCGATGTGTCCCTTCACATCGATGTTTCTCTCTCTCTCTCCCTTCCTCTCTCTCCCTCCTGTACAAAAAAATGGAAAAAAAAAATATCCTCAGGTGAGGATTAAAAAAAAAAAGAAAAAGAGGATTTCTACTTCATTCGAATTTTGAGATACTGTAATTAAAATATACATCAGATTTTTCTTCATCCCTCTGTAATAGGAGTAAATCTGGCTGCCTTCAGTTTAGTTCTTGTTACTTAATCCTTGAAATCTGTATTTTTGAAACACTGTATTTTAGAAAAGCAAACTTATGGTCTGTTTAATGTAAAGATATGTGGAGCATTTGAAGTAGGGTTGATTGTCAAAATAAAAAGCAACCATTGGATGCAAAATTATAAAGCACTGAATGAGAAATATAAATTAACTAGATCCAATTGTTGATACTCCTTGTGGGTATATTTCTAAAGGAAAGTCCTGCTGTATGGACATTGGCCTTATGTTTTTAATAGAAATGAGCTAGAAGATTCACAAAATTGTAGAAAAGCAAGATGGGGCAGGTTTTAATTAGTAATATCAAACAAATCTTAACCTCTTGACAAGTTCTTACACGAAGCAGTGCAGCAAGTGAATGTGTGTTTAGATTCCAAGGCCAAGGACAACTTTAACTATCTTAGTTACTCTAAGAATGTGATAACAATTCTCAAGTGGTTTGAATGAACTGATGTCTTCTTTCTCTTTACTAAATCAAAGCTTTGCATCTTTTCCTAATAAAAATGAAAAATAAATCTTTATTTCTAGGGGCAAATCTCAAAGCAGCACATTCAGAAATATGTTTTTTCCAAAGATTTTATTTTTATCTTAAAAATTGACATTTTTTGTATTCCATGCTAATATATTTGATGGGAAAAAAACCCTGAAACTTTGTCCCTAAATCCTGATGTAAAATTGATATTCAAGAAAGATATTTCCTCTATATGGTTCAGTGTGTGTGCATCTCCCTCCACATTAACATACTTGAGCACACACCCTCTTCATACTCATTGGAAAAGCATGAATTATGCCTCATAATCTCTTCTAAGAGTTCACAAATTGTTTTACCTGGTTATTAATGGTCTACTATATTTATAATTCAACTTTATAAGAATTGGAGCACATTAGAACTCTGATCCAACCCTGTAATTTTGCAGATAAGGAACTGAAGTTTGAAGAAATTAAGAATCAAAATTTGTGAGACCTTAATAATAAATATATAAGAATGGGATACGATAAATTTAGTAAGATTTTGTTGTAGGACTCAAACATTTATGTTCAGCAGTCTGCCAAATGCATTTACTGATAATAATGAAATATTGTAAATAGCTTGAATGCCCAACAGTGGAGATTGATTAAATTACAGTAAATCTATTGGGTTAAATATTATTTAGTCATAAAAGCACATTATAGCTAGAAGAATATATTACCAAACTCTTAGGGGGGGTATATTTATAGGATCATTTTACTTACTAAATAATGCAAAGAAAAAAAACACAATTTTTGTAACTTCAGAAAAGTTTTTAAAAGTATGTTAATAAACACATGGCTATAATTATTGTTAATTAGCCAACTATCTCTTTTATTTATTTATTTATTTATTTATTTATTTATTTATTTATTCATTTATTCATTTATTCATTTATTCATTTATTCATTTATTTATTTATTTTAGAGAGAGAATGGGGGAGAGAGAGAAAAACATCTATGTGAAAGAGAAACATGAATCAGTTGCCTCCTGCACCTGCCCACAACCTGATATGTGCCCTAACTGGGAATCAAATCCACCACCCTTTGGTGTATGGGACAGTGCTCCAACCAACTGAGCAATACTGACCAGAGCACCAACTATCTCTTAAATATTTTAATTTTCTTAGATATCTATTGATTTTTAAGTTGACCATGCCTGTAATTATTGTTCACATGGTTGTGAATGTATTTTCACAATCCTTCCACACCTCCCCCAATAATGTTTTTATTTTTTTATTTATTTACTTACTTATTTATTTTTGTTACAGATGTCTCTCCTTTTCCCCCCATTGACATCCTCCTCCCCCTTCCTCCCCACCCTGTCTCCAGCTTTGTTGTCCATGTCCTTTGGTCATTTATATATACATTTAAGTTCTGTGGTTTATCTCCCCTCCCCCACCCATTCTTCTCGGGATTGTCAGTCTGTACCCCACTTCCACATCTTTGGCACTACCCTGTTCTTCAAACTGTTATGTTAATTATATTCCACAAATAAGTGAGATCCTATGATACTTGTCTTTCTTTGTTTGGCTTGTTTCACTTAGGATAATACTTTCCAGGTCCCTCCATGTAGTCTCAAAGGATAAGAGATCTTTCTTTCTTACAGCTGCATAGTACTCCATTGTGTATATGTACCACAGCTTTTTTATCCATTCGTCTACTGATGGACACTTGGGCTGTTTCCAGATCTTAGCTATTGTAAATAGTGCTGCTATGAACATGGGGGTACATATTCTTTCTGATTGGTGTTTTAGGCTTCTTAGGGTATATTCCTAGAAGTGGGATCACTGGGTCAAATGGCAATTTCATTTTAAATTTTTTGAGGTAACACCATATTGTTTCCATGGTAGCTGCACCAGTCTGCATTCCCACCAGCAGTGTACTAGAGTCCTCTTTTCTCCACACCCTCGCCAACACTTGTTGTTTGATGATTTGATGATGGCGGCCATCCTGACAGGTGTGAAGTGATACCTCATTGTTTTAATTTGCATCTCTCTGAGGATTAGTGATGTTGAGCATTTCTTCATTTGTCTCTTAGCCATTTGTATGTCCTGTTTAGAGAGGTGTCTATTTATTTCGTCTGCCCATTTTTTAATTGGTTCTTTGTCTTCCTTTTGTTGAGCTGTATGAGCACTCTGTATATATTGGAAATTAACCCCTTATCTGATATATCATTGGCAATTATGCTCTCTCATAGAGTGGGTTGCCTTTCCATTTTGGTGGTTGTTTCTTTGCTGTGCAGAAGCTTTTTAGTTTGATGTAGTCCCATGTGTTCATTTTTTGCTTTGTTTCTGTTGCTTTAGGTGATGTATTACTGAAAATTCTGCTGCGT